TGTGGTGGTCGCTTCTTTCAGTTGCAAGATCAGTTTCTTCTCTTTCCTGCTCATTCCTCTTGGCATGCTACGCAGGAATGGGGGCCCTTTGATCGGTATACTATTGTGGCATATACCGTTCGGAATTGGCCTCATTTGTCACCGGCCATGCAACGATCGATTGCTACTATGGGCTTCCGCCTACCTGCACACACAGGGCCGCACATACAGTCTCCTCCTGCTTTACCTACGGTTCTGATTGATCCCGACATTTGATGACCGCGCGGGTTATGTATGCTGGGAGGCCCACACTCATCACTGGAGCCTATCACGGGACCTGAATGCCTGCGTTCTTGCATGCACCACTTGATTCTGGCTCTGGGATATTGGTGCAACCGTGGTATCCTGGCATCCTTCATTAAGTTGTGCTGATGCCCGCAATCTTTGCTCATGCAGTGAGGCCTTTACGCATGCCAAGGTTTACGGCATGTGGCCATGTGCACCAGGGTAGATGTGAGGCCTTTACGCATGCCAGGCTTTGCGGCATGTGGCCATGCGGACCGGGATAGGCTATAGGTCGCTGTGTTGCTTCGCTTTCTGACTGCAGTTTGCCAGAAGATTAGCTTCTGCTGCTTACGAATGAGTAGATTCCGCTAGTTCCTCTCTGCACTGCTGCGATGAGCAGCCGAGTAGCAAGTGTCTACTTGAATGTGCCACGCGAGACACTGGACTTGTCTGCGTTTCAAAGTCAAAAAAAGTCAAAGTCAACCTTTTCGCGGAAGCATCTGGGGCTCAAATTTGTTTGTAGGTGAGCGGGTGCGTGGTGCTGTGGAACGGGGCTCTGGGCCCTAAGAGGTTCCGAACAGGTCCCCTTCGACGTTTCGTAGTTTCCGTGCCATAGGACAGGACTCACACTCTGCGTTGGTGAGCTTGTGCCTTTTTCACTTTTCGGAAGCTGCGACTGTGATCTGTGGATGCAAGGGAGGAACCACTGCTACGAGGATTTTTGCGGGCCTTCTGAACCTGCCGCCTCCTCAAATCGCGGTCTCGCTGCTGCTTCTTCTGACGTGCCAGGGAATTTTCAGACACAGGGCCCTTCTGCGACTTCTGCACAGGACGGAAAGCCTGATTCTCAGTTCTTTTTGCAGCAATCCGGCTTGCACTTGCGTACCCAGCTGGAGCAGGGATATCTTGGGCACACTCGTGCACAGGGTACATCGCAGGGCCTTTCGTACTTGGAGCAGTTGCCTGGATTGTCGTCGTCTACTCAGAGGGTGCAGACTTCTACTCCGCCTCCCCGTGCAGGGTGCAGGCGTTGCGCCGACGGTGACGCATCCGGATCAGTCCTCCGGATTTCCGTTGTGCTCTCAGCTGGAACAGGGCTCTTCTTTGCCTTCTTCGTCTGCTGGGCAGGGTACGGGTCTAGAGCACACAGTCCCGCATTTGGCACAGTCTGGATTTCCGTTGCGCTTTCAGCTGGAACAGGGTTCTTCTCTGCCTTCTTCGTCTTCTGCACAGGGAGCGGCCATTTTACAGACGGTATCATATCCGCCACAGTCGTCAGGATTTCCGTTGCGCTCTCAGCAGGAACAGGGTTCTTTATCATTTGGCAGTCAGGTCTTGCAATCAACTGACGGCGGGGTGCAGGGCGTATATCAGGACAGTCCACATCTGGATCAGTCGTCTGGATTTCCTTTGTGCTCTCAGCAGGAACAGGGTCCTCTATTATTTGCGGGCCTGGAACTGACCTACGAAGACTATTGTGATCAGGTCGTATTGCACGGTCCCTACAGCCAGACACAGCCATCAGGCCTTCCTTTGTACAAACAGCGGGAGCAGGGTCAGTTGGCGCTCTCTGGTGACGGACTGCCTCGTGAGCACTCGGAGTGGACTCTGGTATTCGGCGAGCAGGGGGATTGGCATATTTGCGGCATCTCCTGGAACAGGGTTGGCCAGCACAGGACGCCAAGGCTTATATTTTGTTGGCTTTTCGTGGTCGGGTTAACGCAGCTCTACCCGGGGCATTGATCGCCAAGTTGCTTCGCTTGCTTCCAGCGCAGTCGCAAGAGTATTTTCATCAGGAACTTCTGCACGTGCACCACAAGCACCACCGCTCTCAGGTTTTCGCCGCCCTTCTGCAGCAGCGCGCTGCAGGGCGGTCTTCTTTCTCACCTCACCTCTAGGTCGAGATGGCTCTCGACCAGCAGTGCCCCCCCGGGTCCCAAGTCCCGGGTCCGTGGAGACCCATGCGTTTGAACAGTCCGTTGTGTGCTCAGGCAAATTTGGATCGCACAGGGCACGTCGATTTCTGTCTGCAGGATGTTTTTGACTACATTACACAACGTGACTGGACCACTGATTCGTTGGATTGCCTCCCTTGGGGGCAGTGTGCTGATCAGGTGCTTTATGACAGTTCTGCGAATGACTTTGACCCGGAGTCCTCTTCTCAGCTGTTTTGGCCTTCTTGTGCATGGGAGGATGAAGAGATTTTCTACTCGACTTTATTTCAACACTTCTCCACGGAAGATGCGAGGGTTGCAGGGATTATTGGCGGCCCTGCTGAAGCTCACGGATATGTTCACCAACAGGACGCAACGGGAGCGAAGCTAGCCAATGGGCGCAGGAAATGGAAGGAATCTCACTTTAACGCAGTCAAGCGTGCGCTGCAGCGCGCACGCAAGCGAGCTCAGGAGCATGGACGAACGACCTATCGAGGCAAGCTCGTCACCAATGCCGACATCGGTCTGCCTGGACAGTCCTATTCCCATCTGGACCACTCTCCGAAGCGACAGGGCAGACGCCAGGCTCGGGACCTGGGGTTCATGGAACGTGTCCTTGCACCTTGGCCTCCACGCACAGGACCTCGGCTTGAGTCCTTTGTTCAGCCGCTCCGCAAGGGTCAGCTATCGGTCTTAACTTTGAATCTGGGCGGTTTCTCGAAGGCAGGCTTTGATGAGTTTCAAACTTGGTTAAACTCTGAGAATGTAGCCTCTCATGTCCATATTATCTGCCTGCAAGAAACATGGAGACCGTCCTCAGAATTCACTAGTTCGGCGTGGCACTGGGTTCAGTCCGGTCTTCAGAAGTCTCAGCATCAAGGAGTTGCCGTGCTCATCAACAAGAGTCTTGCGTCGGCCAGCTGCATCAGATTCGCTGAGGTCATTAAGGGTCGCCTGTTGAAGGTCCAGCTTGCTGCAGATGCTACCCATCACCTACGGCGCAAACCAATCACAGTCTTCAGCATCTATCAACACGCCAAAGTCTCCGAACAGGCTGTTGTCTACGAGAAACGTGAACGTCTTTGGGAGCACATCAACAAAGCCTTTGCCTCCGTTCCAGGTAGACATCTGTTCATTGCGGGTGGTGTTGAACCCGCTTTCGCCGTCGGAGTCTCACGTTGGTGCTGGCACAGTGAAGTCCTCGGTCCCTCGTGACTCGGAACGGTTTGCTGCACTTTTGGTAGATCATGACCTCACAGCTCTTAATACTTGGCGGTCCCCACAGGCTACATACATCGATGACAGTGGCAGCACTCAGGGCACACAGGGCACTCAGATTGACTTCTTGTTGGCACGCACGCGTCAGGCGGGTAAGACCGGCCGCGCTGCTCAGGCGCTTCCGCATGTGCATTTGGCCTCCTGGCGCAATGGTGCCCGGCACGTTCCAGTGGCGGCGCTCTTCACGGATACCCGCGCAGAATGCAAGCGTGGTCCGCATGCTGCACGGCTCCACCTGTCCCGGGATCACATGGTCCAATGTCTCCGGCACTCTGACGATCACCGGGATCGGTTTTGCACTGAAGTACAACGCCGGCTGAGCAGGGAATGTTCTGCAGAACCTCAGGGCTACCTTCAACCATGCAAAGTTGATGCAATTCTGCGGGATGTATCTCACGAGCTTTTTGCAAAGCAACGGGTGGACTATGCCAAGCCATGGCAATCCTCTGCAGTTCAACTCTCTCTTAAGGGTATTTGGACGCGGCGAGCGCAGTTGCGGCAACAGCAGCGATCGGCCAGGGCCTGTGTCATTTTATTGCACCTTCTGCCTCCAGTATCTGATGGAACGCTTTTGCCTGTCTCTCACTCTAGTTCCATTGCTGGCTTCTGCATGCGTCGGATTTTTGGTCTCTGGCGAGAGACCCATTCCTTCACCAAGCAGGTTAGGGCATTGCAGAGAGCCAGTGTGCAACAACGTCGAGCACGATGGGATGCCCAGCTGGCTGAGGCGGAGCGGAGACTGCTCTCGAATCTGGAGCTACACATCACTTCTATGCCACTGTCAAGAGACTTGCTCCACGCCAACCGCCCGGGCGAGTTCAGTTGCGTACGAAGGATGGCGATCTTATGACCATTGAGGATGAGATCCAAGCTCTATACGATTACTGGCAGCCTGTCTTTGATCATCCTACCCTTCCCCCGAGGTGATGGGAACTTGTCGATGGCATTGAGGTCTCTAGACTGGAAGTGGAACAGGCTTTGAAGAAGATACCACCACGCAAGGCCACTCAACCGGGGATGGCACCAGGAGCTGCTTGGCACTTTGCTGCGCCTATTGTTGCTCCGCATATTCATGCGTTCTTGCAGGATACGTGGCGGATCTCACAGGCTCGTGGCTTCACTTCCTTGCCAAACCTGGACGGGTTATTCGTGGTCCGTCTGATCTGAGGCCTATCGCGCTGCAACCTGGGGCAGCCAAGGCGCTCAGTGTGCTCATCAAAAGCCCGTCTTCAACCGTTTGTTGATGCAGCAGCCAGGGACTTTCCTCAGTTTGCCTATTTGTGCAATCGGGGCATTGCGCAGGCCATTGGCAGGGTTACACAGCATTGTTCGGCTGTGCGGGCGGCGGTCAAAGGCCAATCCCTCACTCTACATGACAAGTATGCGGGTGTACGCCGATTACCGTGCTCTGGAGGCTGTCAATTGGCAGTCGACATGTCCCGGGCTTTTGATTCTTGCCCCCGCTAGCTTCTCTTGGCATCTCTTCGGCACTTCAAGGTGCCCTCAGATCTCATTGCTCTCATCATGGCGTGGCATGAAAGCAGTCACTATGAGTTGGGCAGTGTGCATCGCTCGGACCTCAGCCGCGACATCTCTTGTACCAGTGGCGTAAAGCAAGGCTGTGTCATCGCACCAAGTTTGTGGACCTTGTTCACTTGCTATGTTGGAGCCAAATTCAGTGAGCACAGAGATGCAGCATGGATCGCTGCTCACTTGACTCTTTTTGCTGATGACTTTCACTTCAAGTGGCAGCTGGACTCTCAGAAAGACTGTCGACGGGTTCTTGAGGACTTGCGTCTGATCTTTGAGGTACTACAGGACCACGGTCTAACGATCAACCCGGCCAAGTCCTCCTTCCTTGTGGAGGTACGTGGTCCTGAAGGGGATGCATGGCTTCGCAAACATCGGATGCGTGATGCAGAAGGCAATTGGCAGTTTGTTTGGGACCTGCTCCGTCGCTTGAAGGTGCCCATCGTGCGATCCTTTCGGTATTTGGGCGTCATGCTCTCATATCATGCTTTCGAAGATGAGACTATGCACTTTCGCTTGCAACCGGCCCAGCAACATCGCAATCGCCTGTCTCGCACCCTGCAGGGTAGAGGTGGGCTCCGGCTCGAGCAACGCCGACGCATATGGTTGGTATGTGTTCAGACCTCCCAACTCTATGGCCTTGGCGCGGTGGGCGTTACGGAGGCGGGCTACAATTTGTTGCATATCCAAACGGTGAAGCATATTCGAGCCTTTGCCAAATCCTCGCGGCACCTCACCCAGGAATCTGACCGCTCTCTTTTGGCCAGGCTTGGACTCTGCGCTCCGTTACAGACTTTGATGCAACAGGTGGATGGGCTCTGTCATCGCTTGGAGCAGCCTGACTCAAGCACGCTTCCATGTTTTGATACTGCAGGCCTGCTGGGATGGTTCCAGGGTATTCGCTGCTTCATGGCGCAGTATCAATTTCAGCATGAACTACCATCGCATCAGCTTGAGTCTAAGGGCATTCTTGGATTTGTTCTGCGCCACCAGGGCATTCTGAGGTTCTTTTCGGGGGCAGAGGTTGCAGCATTGCATGGGGCTGTCAGGCCCATTCTACTTCAGGAGAACCGTCGATCCCAGATGAGGTTGCTTGGTAATAGCCTGGCAGTTCCACAGGCTGCTGCGGGTCTTGCTTACGCGTGTCATGCCCTGGGTTGCAAAGGCACACCGGAACCGGCTAAGGCTGTTGCAGGCTGCTTGTCAGCCCGTGTCCACAATGCCAATGCTTTCTTCTTACCCCGAGGAGCTGATTGGATCTTGTGCCGCAAGGACCAGGTGACTGAAGTGTTGGCGTCCAGCGCCATTCGGCCCCTACCGCCACCCGGTCGGACAGCGCCCATTGATTTTGTGCCACTTACATTCCAAAACGGTAATGCTGAGGTCACTTTGTATGCACCCACTGGCGCCCAGGCTCTTCGAGTCTTTGCACATCTAGGTGTCGCGCACATTGCGCCCATGCTGCCAGCTGCTGCGCATGATCGCCTGCACGCCTTGAGACTGAGTGTAGACTCACTGCCAGGCTTGGACGGCTCAGGCTTTCAAGGTGGCAGTGCCAATCGGGAAGGCCTTTGCACTGTCTTGGTTTATGGCGGAGTCTTTGTCATTGACACATGGTCCCCACGAATGTGGACACAACTGCTCAATGTCTTCGATTTCCTCACCTCAGAGGCTGAGGATCTTTGCTGCTGGAACCCCTCAGGGCAGAAATTGCGGTTTGCTGATGATTTTGAGGGCTGTGTCATTGCAGGCACATCGCCGGCTGAGGCCCCTGAGCTGCCCCTTAGCTTGCTTGCCCAGTGTGTGCCACATCTCCAGGTCACGTTCCAGGACCATACAGCCCGCCTGCAGTGCCCGCCGGCCTCAGCCACGTAAGTTTTGGCTTGGATTTCCGTTCCACCTTGCCCTTGCTTACGGTTGGGAAGCTCACGTTGGCAACTTTCCCCCGACAGCAGGCGTTCCAACGACCATTGACATGTACCCGGTTGCCACGCGTTTGCACATGCAACCTTCCACGTTGCACGCCTGTGGTTCGTTGTTGCCTACCTCGAGGCCGCTGCGGTTCTGCCCACAGATGCAGGTGCAATGCCCGTTGAGGTGCAGGTTGAGGCTACGCGAATCTGGTGGGGTCATTTGTGTGATCTGTCACGAGTTGCACTCCTGGTGCAGTGGTGGCATGCGGCTTCCCGCGCTAGCCAGACACCCCCTGCAGTCCGTGTCTTCTCAGGGCCACATCCGTTGCAGGATGATGACACATTGCTCGCCATCAGGTCAAGGCGTACTCAATGCATAGTCCGCAAAAGTGGTAACCTTCTGCTCACACTGCAGCCCTGTGTTGTTGGCGGGGGTATCAAGGATGAGCAGGCTCATTGGACCCAGACCAGGGCGGCGTCCATCTGTTTGGCCCAGGGCCTCGACCTTCGTGCCACCACAGCCTTTGTTGATGAGGTCACCAAGGAAGGCTCCACTGCTAGGCTCAGCCAGGCCATTAAGGCAACTAGTGAGGATGCCAAGTGGGTCCAGCTTCGTGACTACGCCAAGGAGCTTGGGGTACCGGTGCCTCAAACCACTAGCCTCTTCCAACGTGCGGACCAGAAGGCTAAACGCCAGCTCCAGAAGCACCGCACACAGCAAAGTGCCTACCTGAAAGCTTCAGCTGTGCAAGTCCAGGAGGGTTTCTTCGTGAACGAGGACGAAACACCAGCGCAGATTCTTGATGCCATACGGCCGGGAGCCACGGGGCTACTTTTGGTTGATGGAGATCAGGCGGCTGATGCCTGCAGGGCATTCAGCCAGATGAACTTGCCATTCTTGTCTTGGGCCACACATGCCCCGACCCTGCTAGCTGCACACGTAGATTGTCTTTTCCGGCTACTGGCCGAGCCTGCAAATCCAAGCTTCTTCTTGCTGGGTGCCTGCGCAATGTTGGCGGCAAGGCCATCCGCTCTTCTCAGCCGACTGACATCACAGTTGCGCTGCCTGACATTTTGTGCTGCACATTCACGGCATTCGCTGATGATTTCCCAGCGGGCCAATGGGATCAAATCGTTCAGGCACCTGTGAAGCAACTGCTGTCGGCGTTCAAAGATGTTGAAGCGGCCAAGGCCATCACAGCACCATGGGGCCGCCAGTATAGAAACAAAGGCAAGGTTGCAGCTCCAGCTGCCGCTGATCAGGTCAGCTTCCAGGCTCGTGTGCCCAAAGGAGATTGTGACTCCCTCCTGATTGCCAGTGGACACAACAACGTGTACATCACGCCACGCCAACTTGACCACAACTTGCTCCCCGGCTACTCCATCATCTGGATTGGCGGCCTCCGTCAGGAAGCCGTCAAAGCCTCCTTGCAGATTCCGGAGCAGCGCGGCCTTGTTCGATCTAAGGACCGTTTTGGTTTGAGAGTGCCGGAGGCGTGTTTTGCAGCTGCTTTTGGGTTGCTTCGGCCGGGGCAGACGGCACCAGCCCGAGTTGCGGTTCAGTGTTTGTTCAGGGTCGGCCCGGAGCCGACGCTGCAGCTGTTGCTACCTGCTACCTGGCCCTCCAAGTTCAGTTGGAGCATCAAGGTTATCAAGGCCTCGGGTCCCAACCACTGGCTTGTTGGAGCTGCTGCACAGCCCCAGACCGCTTGGCCGTTGTTCAATGGGCAGACCGTCCTCATCAATCAGGTGCCCCAGCGTGAGGTTCGACAATCTGTGGTTCAGTCGGGCAGCCTCAACCATAAGCTGCAAGCCAATCCGCAAACACCGACTAAGGCAGCCACAAAGGCGGAGGACCCTTGGCTTTTCAGTGACCCCTGGAGCGCTTCCCGCTCCTTTGCGTCATCTCAGGGCAGCCGCGACTCTAGTAATCGGTTCGCCGCCACTGCACAAGCTCCCGTGAGTCGCGCTGTTGCTGGTCCGACTGAGCAGCGTTTTCAGCAACAGGATGCACGCATTCAGGCACTTGAAGAAGGTGTTCAGGCCCTCAGGTTGCAGCAAGAGCAAAACCATACGCAACTTGTGCAGCAGCAGAACACTGATCGCCAGACGGCTGCCCAGGCTACCGCAGGTCTGCAGGATCAGCTCAACACTGTTGGATCTGAGCTCACGCGCCAGCCCAGGCTTCAGCCGAAGCCTTGCAGAATGCCCAAACCCAGCAACAGAAGCAGATGCAGAGTAGCCTCGATGAACTCAAGAGTCTCTTCCTTGAATGCCGTGAGCATCGTGCCGCTGCCAAGAAGCCCAAGCTAGATGCTAAGGAGGATGACCTTTGACGGTTCAGTTATGCCACTGGCTTGAGCTCGCCATTTTGGCGCATTTCGGGTCATTTGCTTCCCTCCTGTTTGTTTCCACAGGGAGTGCTTCAAGCATTGGGGGAGACCTTCAACCAAGGTGTTGATACTGTTAGTGTGAGTGCCGCAGGGGTCGTGGCACTTTTTCGATCCAGTTTTTTGCGCGGCGCAGTTGTTCGCGCCTTTTCAGTTCCAGCGTTTCAAGTTGCATGTTTGCCTAGGGGCCAGCGCCACGCCGGCCCGCTCTCTTGCGCTCACCCCAACCGGTGCATGGATCATTTTCATCCGCTGCTAGGCCGTCGGATTGGCGAAGCCCAAAATCCGGGCCCAGCACAGCAGACTGACCTACGTGATTTCTTTCCTCGACCACTTGCTTCACAACCACTGCCGCACCAGGTCTCAGACGACCAGTCACCAGCTTCCCAGGCCAACCGGTCTTGTGTCAGTGATACCGCTCCAGAGCCTGCAGTCACCGTGCGCATAGCGGTCATCAACCCGACGGCCATTCTCCATAAGGACCGTGAACTCTTGGATCTTGATCAGGACATTGTGCTCGCATCTGAAACCTCTGCTGTTGCAGCTGCTCAGCGCATTGTTGCACACAAGCTTAGACCCGCTGGTTTTACCACGGTCTGGAGTGCGCCGGTCGCACCCCACCAGTCCCAACGCGAGCACAGAACCACTCTCAGGGGCCACGCCTCGGGGGTTGCGTTGTTCTCCCGGTTCCCGGCACGAAAATCTTTCGTCCCTTTGGAGGCACAGGTTGATCAGTCTGCCCGGCTCTTGGAGAGTCATGTTCGAGTGGGTCACTTTGAGTTCAGGGCCTTTGTTGTTTATGGTTTTCCGGCCAATTACCAGGATGCCGGCAGCCGCAATGCTGCCTTGCTTCAGGACGTCCTCCGGCGGTTGCTGGACTGCCCGGTCCCTGCCATTGTGGGCGGGGATTTCAACACAGACGTCACTACACTGCCTGAGTTTGACTTGTTCCGCCAGCTTGGGTTCACTGAGGCCGACCACTACTGGCAGCAGCGTACAGGGGAGCTGCTCCCCCCTACCTGTAAGAATGCCACACGCCATGACACCATGCTCCTGCCGGGCGTGCTACTGCCCTTTGTTCGCAACATGTGTGTTGCAACTGATCTCCATTTTTTCGATTCTCATGCGCCGTTTCTCGCCGAATTCCGTTTGCCGGTTGCACCACCTTGCAAACAGGGCTGGCGCAAACCGAGAACTTGGCTCGTCACCAGGGCCAAGTGCAGGCGGCCATTGCCTCAAGCCGCACCAGTGACGGATTGGATGCTGCTTTCGTGACTTGGGCATCAGCCAATGAGGCTGCCGTTGACGAGGCAGTTCGAGCAGCTCATGCCGAGGCACCCGGCCTTTGTCCGGCACGCTCCTTACCACGGTCTGCTAAGGGGCGCTGCGCTTACCGACCCCTGCAGAGGCGACCGTATGCCCGCTCCGCACCACAAGGGCGATCTGGGGACTATACACCTTCTTGCGAGGCGGTTACTGTTGTTGCCAGAGCCAATGTCAGACAGGTGCGGCGATTGGCTACGTTCGTTCAGGGTCTTGCGAAGGTTGCGGCAGTTGCCACACTCCCTTCCGCGGTCCAGGCGCAGCTGAGTCAAGAATGGGCTGCCATTACCCGAGGCCGAGGCTTTGCACCAAGCTTTCCCTCTTGGCTCTTACAGTGCCCCCATTTTGACACTTATTGGTCATCGTTACCGCCACTTGAATGGGCGAGGGAGGTCCTCCAGTATGTCAGGTTTGATGCGGAAGCACATGTGCGTGCCGAGGCTGACCATCGGCATAAGCTTGCCCGGTTCCAGGTCCACCAAGACAGTACATCAGGCTGCTCCCGTAGTGGTTTTCGGAATCTGCGACCACAGCCAAGGCCGCCGTTCCTCTGTATACCCTACGAGGAAAACCAAACTGCACGACTGATACGTTTGACTTCCCCTGACACCGGGCTATATTCTGTGCAGATGCCCCGCTTTGTACGGATTGGGCAGACGGCCCAGCTTGACGATGTCCCAGTCACCGTTGAAGCTCTCACCTCTGATGAGCAGGAGGGCTCCCTGCTGCTGCTGAGGGCCTCTAGCGCCAACCTGCCGGGCACAGCCCGATTCACTCAAGCTAGCTGTGCAGCTCAATCGTGTGTTTATCGAGTTCTGGGCACCCATCTGGTGCAGGGATAAAGGCCCTGCGAGGACGGATCCAGCCCATTGGGCCACCTTCCTCGACACCCTCCCGCCGGCTCCGCCAGCAGCGAGCGGCTTGTCGATTGACATGCAGGATGTTCAACTTTGGTCCCGTCAGATCCGTCGTCTCAAAAGTGGCGGCTTTAGTCCAGAGGAGCTCAAATGTCTGCCGCCTGCTTCGGTTGATCACCTTGCGCAACTTTTCGCCAAATGTGAGGGCTGCGGTTTCCCCAGGCACCTTGCCCAGGCCACGGTCCACGGTGCACGTACTCGCCAAAGTCGACGAGCCGTCCAACATTGGCCAAGGGCGACCGATTACGGTGTATGCCACCATTTATCGGTTATGGTCCAGTGTTGCAGCCCGCTCCATACTCCGGCAGTGGGTCACATGGATGCCAGAATCCGTGCGCGGCTGCATACCGGGCAGAGGAGTTAGGGAAATTTCAATCGTCATTCAGGTCATGATTGAGTCGGCCCTGCAGTCCGGTCGGGCCTTAGGCGGATTCTCGCTGGATATAGTTAAGTGCTTCAACCAGCTCCCACGCCTACCCTTGCGCCGGCTGCTGCTGCACTTGCATGTTCCCAGTGACATCGTCGAGATTTGGTTCCAATTTCTTGACTGCAACACGAGATTTGCGCTCTTTCATGGTGAGCTCGGGACTCCGGTGGCAAGCACCACAGGTGCGCCGGAGGGTGATCCCATGTCAGTTGTCGGCCAAATTGCACAATTTGCTGGGCACTTGTGGCGCGCCCCCTTCCGGCGCATACTTGGCCCTGGGTATACGTTGACAACTTGACCTGGCTCGCAGCTGAATCCGGCCTGCTTAGCCGCTTGCTTCAGGATGCCACGGATTTTTGCCAAAGCCTTTGTCTCCCCATTGATTGGACCAAGTCCTTCTGCTTGGGCACTACTCGTGAACTCCGTACCTTTTGGGCTCATCACCAGGTGCCAGGTTGTCCTGAGGGTAACCGCCTCCAGCTGGTCACTGAGGCCAAGGATTTAGGTGTTGCATTCCGCTTTAATCGTGTCGGTGGCTTGGGCAAAGCAGCCTCCCGCATTGCCGAGGGGCTGCAACGACTTAAGCGTCTGCAGCGCCAGCATCGGCCGATACACAATGCGGCCCATCTCATCCAATCGGGCATCTGGCCAAAGGGGTCAAACCTTCATGCGAAGCCAACTTCGCCAACATTCCAACCCCCGGACCAGCGCAGCACCAAAGGGGTCAAACCTTCATGCGAAGCTAACTTCGCCAACGCCCCAACCCCCTGAGCAACGCAGCACCAAAGGGGTCAAACCTTCATGCGAAGCCAACTTCGCCACACCCCAACCCCCGGAGCAACGCAGCACGAAAGGGGTCAAACCTTCATGCGAAGCCAACTTCGCCAACACCCCAACCCCCGGAGCAACGCAGCACCAAAGGGGTCAAACCTTCATGCGAAGCCAACTTCGCCAACACCCCAACCCCCGGAGCAACGCAGCACGAAAGGGGTCAAACCTTCATGCGAAGCCAGCTTCGCCAACACCCCAAAACTCCCGGAGCAACGCAGCAGCAAAGGGGTCAGACCTTCATGCCAAGTCAACTTCGCCAACACGCCAACCCCCGGAGCAACGCAGCAGCAAAGGGGTCAAGCCAACTTCGCCAACACCCCAACCCCCGGAGCAACGCAGCACCAAAGGGGGCAAACCTTCATGCGAAGCCAACTTCGCCAACACCCCAAAACCCCCGGAGCAACCCAGCACCAAGGGGGTCAAACCTTCTCATGCGAAGCCAACTTCGCCAACATTCCAACCCCCGGACCAGCGCAGCACCAAAGGGGTCAAACCTTCATGCGAAGCTAACTTCGCCAACGCCCCAACCCCCTGAGCAACGCAGCACCAAAGGGGTCAAACCTTCATGCGAAGCCAACTTCGCCACACCCCAACCCCCGGAGCAACGCAGCACCAACGGGGTCCAACCCTTCATGCGAAGCCAACTTCGCCAACACCCCAATTCCCCCGGAGCAACGCAGCACCAAAGGGGTCAAACCTTCATGCGAGGCCAACTTCGCCAACACCCCAACCCCCGGAGCAACGCAGCGCGAAAGGGGTCAAACTTTCCATGCGAAGCCAACTTCGCCAACATTCCAACCCCCGGAGCAACGCAGCACCAAAGGGGCCAAACCTTCATGCGAAGCCAACTTCGCCAACACCCCAAAACCCCCGGAGCAACCCAGCACCAAAGGGGTCAAACTTTCATGCGAAGCCAACTTCGCCAACATTCCAACCCCCGGACCAGCGCAGCACCAAAGGGGTCAAACCTTCATGCGAAGCTAACTTCGCCAACGCCCCAACCCCCTGAGCAACGCAGCGCGAAAGGGGTCAAACCTTCATGCGAAGCCAACTTCGCCACACCCCAACCCCCGGAGCAACGCAGCACCAACGGGGTCCAACCCTTCATGCGAAGCCAACTTCGCCAACACCCCAATTCCCCCGGAGCAACGCAGCACCAAAGGGGTCAAACCTTCATGCGAAGCCAACTTCGCCACACCCCAACCCCCGGAGCAACGCAGCGCGAAAGGGGTCAAACTTTCCATGCGAAGCCAACTTCGCCAACATTCCAACCCCCGGAGCAACGCAGCACCAAAGGGGTCAGACCTTCATGCGAAGTCAACTTCGCCAACACGCCAACCCCCGGAGCAACGCAGCACCAAAGGGGTCAAACTTCATGCGAAGCCAACTTCGCCAACACCCCAACCCCCGGAGCAACGCAGCACCAAACAGGTCAAGCCTTGATGCGAAGCCAACTTCGCCAACAGCCCAAAACCCCCAGAGCAACGCAGCACCAAAGGGGTCAAACCTTCATGCGAAGCCAACTTCGCCACACCCCAACCCCCGGAGCAACGCAGCACCAACGGGGTCCAACCCTTCATGCGAAGCCAACTTCGCCAACACCCCAAATCCCCCGGAGCAACGCAGCGTCAAACCTTCATGCGAAGCCAACTTCGCCAACACCATCCAACACCCCAAAACTCCCGGAGCAACTTCATGCGAAGCCAACCGCGCCAACACCCCAAAACCCCCGGAGCATTGCAGCACGAAAGGGATCAAACCTTCATGCGAAGCCAACTTCGCCGCAGCACGAAAGGGGTCAAACCTTCATGCGAAGCCAACTTCCCCAACACCCCAACCCCTGGAGCAACGCAGCACCAAAGGGGTCAAACCTTCATGCGAAGCCAACTTCGCCAACACCCCAACCCCCGGAGCAACGCAGCACGAAAGGGGTCAAACTTTCATGCGAAGCCAACTTCGCCAACACCACAACCCCCGGAGCAACGCAGCACGAAAGGGGTCAAACCTTCATGCGAAGCCAGCTTCGCCAACACCCCAACCCCCGGAACAACGCAGCACGAAGGGGGTCAAACTTTCATGCGAAGCCAAGTTAGTTCGCCAACACCCCAACCCCCGGAGCAACGCAGCACGAAAGGGGTCAAACCTTCAAGCGAAGCCAACTTCGCCAACACCCCAACCCCCGGAGCAACGCAACCCGAAAGGGGTCAAGCCTTCATGCGGAGCCAACTTCGCCAACACCCCAACCCCCGGAGCAACGCAGCACGAAAGGGGTCAAATCTTCATGCAAAGCCAACTTCGCCAACACCCCAACCCAAGGACCAACGCAGCACGAAAGGGGTCAAACCTTCATGTGAAGCCAACATCGCCAACGCCCCAGCCCAGTGTCAAACCTTCCTGCGAAGCCAACTTCGCCAACACCGGGTCGAACTTTCAGGCGAAGTCAACTTCGCCAACACCCCAATCCCCCGGAGCAACGCAGCACGAAAGGGGTCAAACCTTCATGCGAAGCCAACTTCGCAACACCACAACACCCGGAGCAACGCAGCACTCAAGGGGTCAAACCTTTATGCGAAGCCAACTTCGCCGCAGCACGAAAGGGGTCAAACCTTCATGCGAAGCCAACTTGGCCAACACCCCAAAACCCGGGAGCAACGCAACACGAAAGGGGTCAAACCTTCATGCGAAGCCAACTTCGTCAACACCCCAACCCCCGGAGCAGCGCAGCACGAAAGGGGTGAAACCTTCATGCGAAGCCAACTTCGCCAACACCCCAACCCCCAGGCAACGCAGCATGCGAGGGCAACTTCGCCAACACCCCAACCCCCGGAGCAGCGCAGCACGAAAGGGGTCAAAACTTCATGCGAAGCCAACTTCGCCAACACCCAAACCCCCGGAGCAACGCAGCGCGAAAGGGGTCAAACCTTCATGCGAAGCCAACTTCGCCAACACCCCAAACCCCCGGAGCAACGCAGCACGAAAGGGGTCAAACCTTCACGCGAAGCCAACTTCGCCAACACCCCAACCCCCGGAGCAACGCAGCACCAAAGGGGTCAAACTTTCATGCGAAGCCAACTTCGCCAACACCCCAACCCGGAGCAACGCAGCACGAAAAGGGTCAAACTTTCATGCGAAGCCAACTTCGCCAACACCCCAAAACCCCCGGAGCAACGCAGCACGAAAGGGGTCAAACCTTCATGCGAAGCCAACTTCGCCAACACGCCAACCCCCGGAGCAACGCAGCACCAAAGGGGTCAAACTTTCATGCGAAGCCAACGTCGCCAACACCCCAAAACCCCCGGAGCAGCGCAGCACCAAAGGGGTCAAACCTTCATGCGAAGCCAACTTCGCCAACACCCCAACCCCCAAAGCAACGCAGCGCGTAAGGGGTCAAACCTTCATGCGAAGCCAACTTCGCCAACATTCCAACCCCCGAAACAACGCAGCACGAAAACTTCATGCGAAGCCAACTTCGCCAACACCCCAAAACCCCCTGAGCAACGCAGCACGAAAAGGGTCAAACCTTCAGCGAAACCAACTTCGCCAACACCCCAAAACACCCGGAGCAACGCAGCACCATGCGAAGCCAACTTCGCCAACACGCCAACCCCCGGAGCAACGCAGCAGCAACGGGGTCAAGCCAACTTCGCCAACACCGCAACCCCCGGAGCAACGCAGCACGAAAGGGGTCAAACCTTCATGCGAAGCCAACTTCGCCAACATTGCAACCCCCGGAGCAACGCAGCAGGAAAGGTGTCAAACTTGCATGCGAAGCCAACTGCGCCAACACCCCAACCCCCGGAGCAACGCAGCACGAAAGGGGTCAAACCTTCATGCGAAGCCAACTTCGCCAACATTGCAACCCCCGGAGCAACGCAGCACGAAAGGGGTCAAACCTTCATGCGAAGCCAACTTCGCCAACATTGCAACCCCCGGAGCAGCGCAGCACGAAAGGGGTCAAACTTTCATGCGAAGCCAACGTCGCCAACACCCCAACCCCCGGAGCAACGCAGCACCAAAGGGGTCAAACTTTCCATGCGAAGCCAACTTCGCCAACATTCCAACCCCCGGAGCAGCGCAGCACGAAAAGGATCATTTCTTCATGCGAGGCCAACTTGGCCAACACCCCGAAACCCCCGGAACAACCCGGCACCAAAGGGGTCAAACCTTCATGCGAAGCCAACTTCGCCAACACCCCAACCCCCGGAGCAACGCAGCACCAAAGGGGTCAAACCTTCATGCGAAGCCAACGTCGCCAACACCCCAAAACCCCCGGAGCAACGCAGCACGAAAAGGGTCAAACTTTCATGTGAAGCCGACTTCGCCAACACCCCAACCCCCAGGCAACGCAGCACGAAAGGGGTCAAATCAAACCTTCATGCGAAGCCAACTTCGCCAACATTCCAACCCCCGGAGCAGCACAGCACGAAAGGGGTCAAACCTTCATGCGAAGCCAACTTCGCCAACACCCCAACCCCCGGAGCAACGCAGCACGAAAGGGGTCAAACCTTCATGCGAAGCCAATTTCGCCAACACCCCAACCCCCGGAGCAACGCAGCACGAAAGGGGTCAAGCGTTCATGCGAAGCCAATTTCGCCAACACCCCAACCCCCGGAGCAACGCAGCACGAAAGGGGTCAAACTTTCATGCGAAGCCAACTTCGCCAACACCCGAACCCCCGGAGCAACGCAGCACGAAAGGGGTCAAACTTTCATACGAAGCCAACTTCGCCAACACCCCAAAACCCCGGAGCAACGCAGCAAAACCAATTTCGCCAACATTCCAACCCCCGGAGCAACGCAGCACGAAAGGGGTCAAACTTTCATGCGAAGCCAACTTCGCCAACACCCCAACCCCCGGAGCAACGCAGCACCAAAGGGGTCAAACTTTCCATGCGAAGCCAAGTTCGCCAACATTGCAACCCCCGGAGCAACGCAGCTCGAAAGGGGTCAAACTTTCCATGCGAAGCCAACTTCGCCAACATTGCAACCCCCGGAGCAACGCAGCACGAAAGGGGTCAAACCTTCATGCGAAGCCAACTTCGCCAACACCCCAACCCCCGGAGCAACGCAGCACGAAAGGGGTCAAACCTTCATGCGAAGCCAATTTCGCCAACACCCCAACACCCGGAGCAACGCAGCACGAAAGGGGTCAAGCCTTCATGCGAAGCCAATTTCGCCAACACCCCAACCCCTGGAGCAACGCAGCACGAAAGGGGTCAAACCTTCATGCGAAGCCAACTTCGTCAACACCCCCACCCCCGGAGCAACGCAGCACGAAAGGGGTCGAACCTTCATACGAAGCCAACTTCGCCAACACCCCAAAACCCCGGAGCAACGCAGCAAAACCAACTTCGCCAACATTCCAACCCCCGGAGCAACGCAGCACGAAAGGGGTCAAACTTTCATGCGGAGCCAACTTCGCCAACACCCCAACCCCCGGAGCAACGCTGCACGAAAAGGGTCAAACTTTCATGCGAAGCCAACTTCGCCAACATTGCAACCCCCGGAGCAACGCAGCTCGAAAGGGGTCAAACTTTCCATGCGAAGCCAACTTCACCAACATTGCAACCCCCGGAGCAACGCAGCACGAAAGGGGTCAAACCTTCATGCGAAGCCAACTTCGCCAACACCCCAACCCCCGGAGCAACGCAGCACGAAAGGGGTCAAACCTTCATGCGAAGCCAATTTCGCCAACACCCCAACCCCCGGAGCAACGCAGCACGAAAGTGGTCAAACCTTCATGCGAAGCCAACTTCGCCAACACCCCAACACCCGGAGCAACGCAGCACGAAAGGGGTCAAACTTTCATGCGAAGCCAACGTCGCCAACACCCCAACCCCCGGAGCAACCAAACTTTCATGTGAAGCCAACTTCGCCAACACCCCAACCCCCGGAGCAACGAAGCACGAAAGGAGTCAAACCTAACCCTCCAGCCTTCCAGCCTTCCAGCCCTCCAGCCTTCCAGCCTTCCAGCCCTCCAGCCCTCCAGCCTTCCAGGCTTCCAGTCGACACTCCAGCCCTCTCCAACCTTGCAGCCTTCCAGCTCCAGCCTCCCAGCCGTCCAGCCATTCAATTCAAGTCTTTCATGGCAGGCTGGAGGGCTGGAAGGTTGGAGGCTGGAAGGCTGGAAGTCTCGGAAAGATGAAAGCATGAAGGCTGGAGGGCTGGAAAACGAACAAAAGACAAGTGAAATGCGTGTTTTTGTGTTTCGTTTAGTTTTTAAAATATGGGTCTTTTGTCACTCCGTTCCCTCTTCACATTCATGCTTCCATTCACTTCATTCGTTTCTCTCGCTCCACTCATTCCATTCATTACATTAAAAAGTGAAGGGAACAGAATGAGCGTGGTGAGTGTTGTTTGATGAAGAGAAGATAAGTGAAACGTAATGGAGCGCATGCTTTCTTCATTAAATAAAACCCAACACACGAACAAGTGACCGAAACCAGTTTAATGTTAAGTCCAAGATATAACACCAGAATAAAAGAACTTTTTGACCAATAATGTCAATCTTAGGTCAATGAATAACTATCCAAATGACTTACATTCCAAGCTTACAAACACCATGATTCCGTTCCCTTTGTGCTTCTTTTAATTAGACCAAAGGAGATAATGGAATGATAACTTCTCCTACCATGTGATCTTCTTCTTAGGTGGTTCTGTTCCTTTCATGTTTTGTCTCATGCGATTTCTATCATTAATTCGTTCCTATATCCTTTCCTTCTAATGTGAAGTGACTGAAGCTGAGTTAAAATTTTTAAGGAACGAGGGCTGGAGAAGGCCGCAAGGCTGGAGCATCGGAAGGCTGGAAGGCTGGAGGGTTGGAGGGCTGGAGGGCTGGGCTGCCTTCCGGCCTTCCAGCCCTCCAGCCTTCCAGCCCTCCAGCCTTCCAGCCCTTCCACCCTTCCACCGCGTGGCCTTCCAGTCTTGCAGCCCTTCAGCCCTCCACCATTCCAGCCTTTCAGCCTTCCAGCCTTCAAGCCCTCCAGCCTTCCAGCCCTCCAGCCTTCCAGCCCGAGGGCTGGAAGGCTGGAGGGCTGGAAGGCTGGAGGGCTTGAAGGCTGGAAGGCTGGAACGCTGGCTGGAAGGCTGGAAGGCTGGAAGGCTGGAAGGCTGGAGGGCTGGAGGGCTGGAGGGCTGGAGGGCTGGAGGGCTGGAAGGCAGAAGGCTGAAACTGGAGGGCTGGAAGGCTGGCTGGCTGGAAGGCTGGAAGGCCGGGGGCCGGAGGCTGGAAGGCAAGAAAAGCTGGAAGGCTGGAAGGCTGGAGGGCTGGAGGGCTGGAGGGCTCGAAGGCTGGAGGGGAGGGCTGGAAGGCTGGAAGGCTGGAGAAGGCTGCAACCAAGGCTGGAGCGACCAAGACTTCCGGATGTTTTAAAATTGGGCGGTCCGAAGCCGCTGCTGTTAGACCTAGTGCAAATGATCTGTTTACGCTGTTTAAATGTCCGGGTGCAAGCTCACGAGAAGCATCCGTTGTTGTTTACAGTTGCAGAGGTCAGTAACCCAAACGTTGAGAAGCGATTGGCTTCCCCCATGCCCAAGCCCCTCAACTTTGAACTTCCCTGCAGGAAGGTTGCTTTCGTGTGGGGACTTGGGTTCATTGCCACTCCTCAACCTGTGGCACTTGGGTTCGTCTCGTGTGAAGGGGAGAGGAAACTCAGGAAACGAGGCTTTAGTTAGGGCTTTCTAAGGGTCCCGTGTAGGGTTCAGGCATGTTGGGTCGTGGGTCAGGGCTCTTTTTTGTGGGTGTTTAGTGCAGTTGTATATAGAGGGCATGGTGGTGAGTTCATATTTGGGTAAATGCTATGTGGGCTTTTGAAGCTTGTTCAGTGGTCTGCACCCATGATTTCGGACTGCTAAACTGGTTCCGCTTGTTCGGAACAGAGCCTGCGCTCCTTGCAACCGAGGCACCAGATCAAGTGGACGACTCGCCTGAGGTCCCCAAGGAGGACGGGCGTGTCGCATTCAAAGTTCGGGGTTTCGGGGTTTCTTCTATAGTATGCCGGGCAGGGAATGTCTTCGGAAGTATGGTGGCTTCTGCTGGACTGTTTCATGCACTGTACGTGGCAAGAAGGTTGCTCCCTTTGAATGCGCCGCTCGGGGTCGATGTACAATATAGAGTACGGAAGTCTGCATGATTAGCACCACTGGTAGCAAAAAGCTGTTCCTGCGAGTTCCCGACCGTTTTAGTCGTGCGAGAGACGAGCTCCGGGCTTCCTGCGAGGCGATGCAGCCGCCACCGCCGCAAGCGCCGCAACTTCCCGAAGCCGCGAGACCCGAGGCCGGGCTCCTCGGGGAGTCTTTCGATAAATGACTGCAAGGCAGTGCGAGGAAGGCTGCAGGAGAAGGTCGGTTTCCAAAGGGGTCCAACCTGGCGGTGGTAGTCGTAGTAGCCCGAGGCGTGCAGAGGTACCAAGCAAGAGGGCTCGCACAGAAAGACTGACGACGACTTTCCTTCTACTAACCGGTGAACTTGTTTGTTGCAGCATGCCGCAGACACACACAGAGACTCACACGTACACACGCACACAGACAGACACACATTCACGCACTTTGCGACTCTCTAACTCTCTCACTCTATCTGACTCTATCTATCTATCTATCTACCTATCTATCTATCTATCTATCTATCTACCTACCTATCTATCTATCTATCTATCTATCTCTCTCTCTCTCCCATTCATCGCCAGCAGAGGCAAGCCCCCTAAGAAATATGACCCGGCTGAAGCTTCTCGATGTCAGATCTTTCTTCGAACCGCTGACTGAAGAAGGGTTCACACATTCTGCAAGCTGCAACCCGCGGCAGTGCGGCACCTGTGTCATAGCCCGAGCCCAGTCCCAATGGAACCCAATGGGCGCCCGAGAATTCGAGCTTTGTGCCCCTCTTGTCGACTAGATGTTCCGGGGAGTCCAAACAGTGATGCCCTCAACCCAAAAGCTCCTAACTCCATCCCGAAAGCCCCCACACACATCCAAACAAGCCCTCGGCCCTCTTCCAGACCCAGCGATGGAGGCGACGTGATGTGCGGTATTATGATGCATGGTCTTATCATGAACTTACCCTACATCTTGAAGTCGAAACCCTGCACAAACCCCAAACCGTCGTGAGATGTCGTGAGTCCATGCGAGTGTGAGACGCGCGCTTCGATTCCAGGTTCCCGTTCCGGCTTTCCGGCCGACATTGCCAAAGCTCGCATTGCCTTCGCCGAAGGCTAAGGACCAATGTGTCCTTTAGGGACGCTGGACTTCCTTTCCCCGCAAGTTGAGCATTCAGCATCCCCACTAAACCGCACGCCAAGCCTTCTCAGCTTTGCCAAAAACACATGTCACACCTCCGACATGACCTTGCGTAATCCTTTCAAGACGCATAAAGCGTCTAGCTGCACACCGCAAGCGGGCCAAAAGCGCCTACTGCAAGTGGAACTTGCCATGCTTCGACTGTCTTCGGGCTTCATCGCCTTGCTCGGCACCTTGGCCCTCCGATGCAAGGCCGGCAAGGCCTTTCAAAGCGGGTCAGAGCTTCGAGCGGCACTGGAGAGTTGGACTTTGGATGCGACCTCGAGGCCCCAGCTGAAAAACACCTGGGGTCCCATTTGGGACTGGGACGTCTCGGCTGTCAGGGACATGAGAGGCCTCTTTCAAGATCTGAGCAGCTTCGATGAAGAAATCCAGTACTGGAACACGTCACAGGTAACTGATATGAGCCGCATGTTTTACGGAGCAAGGGCCTTCAACCACCCAATCGAGGCTTGGGACACATCGGCAGTCCTTGACATGAGTCACATGTTTCGTGGGGCAGTGAGCTTCGACCGGCCGATTGGAGCTTGGGACACCTCAGCAGTCAAGGACATGAGCCACATGTTTCGCGGAGCTTCGCAGTTCAACCAGCCGATTGGCGCGTGGGACACCAGCTCCGTCACCGACATGAGCTACATGTTTTACGCTGCTTCGCACTTCGACCAGCCGATCGGAGCTTGGGACACCTCCGCAGTTTTTGACATGAGCGGCATGTTTGCGGAGGCCTCCAGCTTCAACCAGCAGATCGGCACCTGGAACACGTCAGCCGTCAAGGACATGCGCTACATGTTCTACAAAGCCGGCCGCTTCAACCAGGGCTTGCGCGACTTTCGAGATGGGAGCAGAGAAGACATCCGGGTCTCCCTTTACTGGCATCTCCACCGGGATAGCATCTGCTGGTGGGACACCTCGTCTGTGAAGAACATGAGCCAGATGTTTTATTCTGCTTCAGATTTCGACCGGGAAATTGCAATACGACGTCGGGGTTGGGGTGTGGCACGAATTGCGCGAACTTACGTCTGCTCTATCGGCAGATGGAATACCTCAGCGGTGAAGAGCATGAGCCTCATGTTTCGCGGAGCTTCAAGGTTCAACCAGTCAATTGGAACGTGGGATACCAACTCCGTCACCGACATGAGCTACATGTTTTACGCTGCTTCGCGCTTCGACCAGCCGATCGGAGCTTGGGACACCTCCGCAGTTTGTGACATGAGGGGCATGTTTGCGAAGGCCTCCAGCTTCAACCAGCAGATCGGCACGTGGAACACGTCAGCTGTCAAGGACATGCACTACATGTTCTACAAAGCCTCACAGTTTAACCAGCAGATCGGCACCTGGAAAACGTCAGCCGTCAAGGACATGCGCCACATGTTCCGTGGAGCTAGCAACTTTAATCAATCCATCGCCGCATGGGCCACCGCCGCAGTGACGGACATGAGCTACATGTTCTGCTTTGCTGATGACTTTAACCAGCCGATCGGCGCATGGAACACGTCATCGGTGACAAGCATGGCAGGCATGTTTGGTGGTGCTGTTCACTTCAACCAACCTATCGGCTCGTGGAAGACTTCCTCGGTCAAGGATATGAGTCGCATGTTTATCTATGCAGTTGCTTTCAACCAGCCACTCGGTACCTGGGTCACATCTGCCGTTGAAGACATGAGCCTCATGTTCGCGGATGCCGCCATCTTTAACTATGCGATCAGCACCTGGGACACAAGCTCCGTGACCAACATGAGCTACATGTTCGCAAGTGCAAAATGTTATGACGGTCTGTTCTCGCAGCCGCCCCCAGCAATCACAAGCCCATGGGCTGGTGGAGGAACATTCAACCAGCCGATTGGCACATGGAACACCTCGGCCGTGACTGACATGAGTTACATGTTTTATGGCTTCAACTACTGGTTGGATCTGGGGCGTTGCAACCTTATCGACTTCCCGACATCCGAGAGGAATTGGCCTAATTCTTTCAACAAGCCGATTGGTGGCTGGAACACATCCGCTGTCACCAACATGAGCCACATGTTTCATCGAGCCATTGCCTTCGACCAAGCGATTGGAGCTTGGGATACCTCAGCAGTCAAGGACATGAGCGAGATGTTTGCGGGTGCCACTTCCTTCAACCAGCTTCTGCACACCTGGGATGTGCATCAGGCCCGTGGGGCAGAGGCCATCATGGACCAGGCGGCGTTCCAGGAGGTGGCCAAGTGTGCCATGTGGCAGTCGTGGCGTCCACCTTCCGGTGTCCCGAAGTCACACGCCTGCCCAGACTGCCATCTCCGTGATTGTCCTACTCACGACTGGGTTTGCGTTCAGGGTACCTGCAAACCTCTCAGCGAAGGCTTCATCCAGCTCGGCAAGGCTCATTGGGCCCGGCCTCTCTCTTCGTCAAGCGCCGCTCGAGAGGATTGCAAGGATGATTGCCAGTCCTGGACCAATTGCTCAGGATATGTGCTGCAGGCGGACAGCTGTGTCCTGCTGCATGAGAGCGGCTTCCTGGAGAAGCAGAACGGCACAGGTGAGAGCATGGCGTTCGCAAAATTTCAGTGCTCCACTTTCGCATGCCCACTCGGGAGCAATCGGTCTGAAGCACCCGGCAAGCCGGTCACTGCTGCTTCTTGCTGCACTTGTCTGCCACACCTGGTGCACGATCCAAGAGTTAAAGCTCCTGATCTCGCCTGCACCTGCCCTCCTCACCAGTACGCCAACCATTCACTGCAGAACGGGGAGACAACGGTGCAGTGTCACAGCTGCGGCCCAGGCTACGTGCCAAATCCTAGTAAGTGGGGCGCTCCTTGCAGGGAGTGCCCAAGCGGCACGCATTCTGCCGGCGACGTTGCCACCTGCGTAACGTGCCCTGCCTTTGCTAAGTGGAGTGGGGCTGGCTGCACCTTCGACTGGGTGCTCTCGCTGATTGTGCTTACGGTGGTCCTCTCCGTGGTGGCAGTCCTTGTAGTGTCAATCAAGAAGAGCCGAGAGTGGAATCGCCAAGAAAAGGAGCGGCAACAGACGGAGCAGAGCGAGAGGGCGGTCCGGGAGCAGAGCGAGAGAGCGGTCCGCCGGCTCCGTTTGCAGGAGGAGGGCTTGCGCGTGGCTCAGCGAGAGGAGGCTCGAAAGCAGCAGGAGCTGAGAGAGCTGAGAGCGGCGCAGACGGAGTCACTCCGGGTAGAGCTGGAGCTGCGCGCGCAGCGCAGCCGGCTGGCAGGAGTGAGCATGCGCTATCTCTTATCGGAGGACTTCACAGAGCTCGCCCGAAACCGGGCCGGAAGCGATGACCCGAGGTTCAACGACCTGAAGGAGGCCTTCTGGCTCGGTGAAGCTCCGATCGGTGAGGATGTCCTATGCCCACGTGACAGACGCCTGGGCTGCGCGCTGGTTGATTGGATTCCGGAACCGGATGCTCCACCACAAACTCACTTCATGTCGTGGACGTGGCGCTATCGCCTGTCGCAGGTCCAGAATGCTTTGGAGAGGTACCAGCAACAACAGCAGACTCAGCAGGCGATGTCCCCGAACATCTCCTTCTTCATGTGCTTCTTCGTGAACAATCAGTTCCGTGTAATACTTGAAGAGAGCAGCTGCGACAACTTGGACGCCGTGTTTCGGCAAAATCTCATGCGTTGCGGTCAGATGGTGGCTATCTTAGACACGTGGGAACAGCCTGTCTACCTTTCGAGGGTTTGGACGATCTACGAGCAATTTGTGGCGTCGTCTCTTGACATCCCGGTCACATTCGTGATGCCTGAAGCAGCCGGCGCCTCCCTGCAAGATCAGATCATGCGTGGAGAAGTTGGCATCACAAAGATTACAGGCTCCATCAGCATGCTCGATGTGGCAAGGGCAGAGGCATGGAAGAAGGAAGATGAGATCAAGGTCAAGGCTGCCATCCAGGACAGCGTTGGCTTCGACCATGTGAACAAGCACGTGGCACGAGTCATGATCCAATGGATCGGAGAGGTGGTGAAGGATCATTTTCAACAGCGCTTGCAGGATCCGCAGCAAGGAATCAACCACAAAGCATTCTCAGGATGCGCCTTGCAGTAGTGTCCCGATCTCCTTCGGCTTGAGGCTTTAGGGACTTTAGTGCCCTACGGCTGTGCAAGCCCTTTCCAGTCAATCGAATTGGAGAGGTTGACCTGCATTTTTCGACCCAGAAAGTAACCAAAGAATCAGATGACACCGTCATCAACTTAACGGAGTCATGAACGGCAGACGACCGTGATTTTGAAGTGCAGTGGTTGCTCGTGGCATGCTGCTTCCGCGGCTGCGCTGACCCGGGCGTTTAGTTTGGCGCATGACGGTTTTGCATAGAATGGAAGCGGCCGCATGTGATGTCTCTTAGTTCTGTTTAAAGGGGATGCATGGCTGGATTGAGACAGCTTGTCGAGCCTTCTTTCTCCTCCGGCCGATTTCTGCGCCATGGTCGGCCTTACTCCCCCATGAGTGCATACGGCCTATAACTACAGCGAGTGCTCCTCTGCTTTGGAAATGAAACACATGTGCATGTTTCCATCAGTAGGGAGCCCCAACAAAGTAGGATCCCCCTCACACGGAAAAACACCCCCAAAAAGGGACCCCCGGATTCTGGGAAAGCCCCCCATGGTAAACGGTAAAAGTCCCGATCGGCCCTTCCAGGACCTCGGAGATCTCCGGCGCCGGCCCCGGCTGACAAAGCGCAGCGCCTCCCTCCCCCGGCCTCTTGGATCCGTGGATCTCTCTTTGGGGTTTCAAAGGTAGGTGAGGCGAGTCGAGAGAGTCTTCAGAGTTGGGGTGATTCTCTTGTACCGGCGATGCACAGCAGGGACCGGGTGAGGGGAGGGACCCGAACACTCTCCATGAAGCACTCGTCAGGCTTCACACGAAACCCTAGAAGACTGCTGTTTATCGAGGACCGGTGCTGTTGCACCGCTCGGCTCGCCGCGCGCGTTGGTGTGCTTCTTTGAGGTCTTGAGATGCGCCAGTTGGGAGGGGTGTGAAGGGTTTGGAGGGTTTACAAGGGGTAGTGTATCTGTGAAGAGAGGGAGAGTCTTCAACGAGGCATGATCAAGTTTCATGGTCGAACCACACACGGACGGACACAGCTGTTGACTGCCGCAAAAGGCAATCGGCTCCTGCACAGTAAACTCTTTGGACCTGAGGGTTTGAGTTTTAGCCTTCGCTTGCCGATCATCACGTCTTCTCATCATCCGCCTAGCTGCGGCGGAGAGTGGCCGACTCGCGCCGAAATGCCCTTACATACTGCACTCTCCACATCCTGAAGAGCACAGTGCAGCTGCCAGGTGGAGTGTCCCACGCCTTCATGCATCGCTTTTCGACGTTTCTCGTCGGAAAGCCCGTGGGTTGAGTCATTGGCATTTCACCTGCCAGGAGCCGGCGCCCGTGTTGCCTTCGCTCCTGGATGCCCTTCGGCGGCTCCGGGTCTTCCGAAGTTCGGAGATTTTTGTTTTTCATCTCGCGGCCGCAGCCTCGCAGCCTCGCCACATCTCAACTCTAAGCCTGACGGGTTTTTCCCAAGACTCTGCAGAGTCCTTGTTGGATCTTCTGAGCGTCAGCTCTGAGATCCAAGTAAGCCCAAGAAACGGAGTCCCAGCCTCCTCAAACCTTGCCACAAGCTTGTCTGTCGAAGAGAGCTTGGCAGCTTCAGACACGGGGGACCCTGATGCGGAACCCTAGTTGCCCTAGTTGCGAGAATCGGACATTCGCACGTTCTTCCTCCGAGCACTAAATTGTACTAGCTATGTTTTGTATCCTCTAAGTTATAAACCCTGAGTCTTGTGGTGCAGGTCCTCTTTCCAGCAGGATCATGATTCTGCCCATAAGAGGAACCCCTCGCTCGCGCTCCAGGAAAGTGCCAAGTCGCCAAGGCCTTCGCCGCGAGACCCGCCGCATGACCGCAGATGCACGGGAAGGGAGCCGTTTAAAGGAGCTCGGACGGTTCGTTTGCAGCTCCGTTGCTGAGCGATTCTGCCGGCTTTGTGAACACTCATCATTACATAGGTCTGCCAATTTTCGCTTTTCGAAGTGAGGGAAGCTGCCCAAAAAGTTACCGTAGCGACCCACTGATGCAAAGAGGACGACACGTCTTGGCGCATCCTGAATAAGCAAGTACATCTGACAGGGAAACTGAGGGGAAGGCCTGCGCTCAGCCACCGCCTGGCTTTAGCTCGTCCGAGGTTTAGAAGCCCAAGCCAAGCAGCGCTACCCGGTTGTGCCGAGTCGCCGTGAGTGCTGACACTGGCCCAAAAAAAGCCTCAGAACCCCTAAAGCCTTAAAGATCCCAGAGCCCCAGAGGTCTGTAGAGACCGGAGCCGCAAGGTTCTCCTTCTACTTCGACGATGTGGCGGCCTCGGGGGGCAGAGTTCAAACTCGGCTGGCGGATGAGCTCAGGGCCGACTCCAGGATCCAACACTTTAATCGCCAAGCCCTGGCGACCAGCACCGTCAGACCTCGCCGAGGACCTCGCCTGGATTGTCTGAGTTGTGAGAGCACAAACCCTATAGCTTTTACATTTTTCGCTCTGGACGGCGACGCCAGGGACGAAGACAAGGAGAGCGACGATGGCAGCAACAGTGGGAGCATCAGTAAGAGCAGTAAGTGGCAAGAAAGCGAAGCAGGAGCATGAGGACGCTCCTCAGGGCTCCTGTGTTTGCGGGTGTCTGTAGGTTCCCTTGAGCCTTGCTTTTCCGGGTATTGCCTAGAGAGTTGGGGCCCGGGGCATTGGGTGGGCTTCTCAAAGCTTCCCAGATGGACTACGCCGCAAGCGGCGACGGCGACTCGGTTCGGCCTGGCACTTAGCAGCATGGTTAAAATCTACCGGGACACCTGACGCAGTTGCTGACGCATACGGTTTTTGTGCACTGCGCTGTCGGGAGCAGAAGGTCAACTGAAAGCGCCTCCCGAACTCTGTGCACTCTTCCCATTCCTACTGTTTGGTACAGTTGTTAACACTACTGACTGCTGCTGCGGCTATTGTTGCTGCTCTTCCTGCCACGACTGACTATCACTAGTGATTGTCAGTATATATACTAGTCACTAGTGTTCCCACTATTCATACGGCTACTGCTAAGTGCAGGGGGCCCCCGAAGATAATGAAGAAGAGCAGCTGTGCTTCGACACGTCTCCAGGTCTTGGTCGAAGGAGAGCTTCGCAGAGATGGACGGGCCGGGCTTGGATTGATCTGCAGGGTGTACCGCCCGAAGAGTTTCAGGATTTCGCTGTTTTGAGGTTTCGGGCTTCGGGGCCCTGGCGGCCCAAGAAGTGAAGAAGCCGGGGATGTAGGCGGCTTACCAGGAGCCGCAAGTCAGTTCTCAGGGACCCTGGACTGCCCTAGCCATGCCTGAACTTCCCGGCTCGCCTCCTGTGACCCTTAGGGTTTAAGGTTTAAGGTTTAGGGATTCACTTGCTGATTAGTGACAGGCTTGCACCGATCTCGTTGTCCCGGCCATTCCCGTCTTGACTTGAAAGCTCGCTTGGTCTCAACCATAGAGGGGTCAGCTGCGGAAGACTCTCCTGCACCCGGCTGTCCAGCTTCCGTGCAGTTTGCCCCTTCCCCACCTACACACCGTCATTGGTCCCTGAAGCAGACTCATGGCTGTCTTACTGTAGGGCCGAGGTTTTGAGTGCTCCTTCTTCCTTCCTTGCTGGCGCAGGACACTCATTGCCACAGCCCTGAGGAAAACTTGATCTCGCCGAGCTCCCCGTGCTCCTCCCCGAGGCTCCACCTGGCAAAGGGTTTAAGGAGGTCAGCATTTGCTTTTTCAACTCGGGAGTGTGAGGCCTTCAGGCTCAGAGTTGGCGGAAGGTCACCAGTTTTCCCAGGCGCGACAACCTTCTGAACTTCAGGCCATGCGCTTCTCCACACGCACGAGCCAGACGCCTCGCAGATCTACCCCCACTGGCTCCCAGACCACTTAAGTCTGAAGGCATAATATCATAATACCAGCTTTACGAAAGGAGCAGCCGGGCGGCGCCTGGGTCGGGGTTTGGGATTTCGGGTTTTCGGGATCCGGGGACAACTGTGAAGCTGGCACCATGCCGAAGGCACATGATCTCATGTCCCTGATACAAGTACCCTCATATGAGCCATAGTCTAAACTCCGTAATGGGGGGGTTATATCGGGGACTACTATAGGGGATATGAAGAGGATTAGGAGTTTAGACTAGAATAGAGCTGATATTGTGGTAGCAGCGATTCCCTTAACCTAATCCGGAACCCAAGGGAACCTTATAGTAGGTGTAACTCACATCAAGTTCCTCTACTAGAGCTCTTTGCAGAATCAAGTCTTGGAAACCCCTCCGCTCTTCAACTACCCTTTCTTTAAATCCTAAACTCCTCAGTTCCCAAGAAACGGACACCCGTCGGTTGGTGCAGGTGCGGAGCTCGAGGGTCTATCTGCAGCCGTGAGTCAACGGCTCTGGCGACCGACCAGGAGAGTCGGTTCAGGATTCTTCAAGTTTTGGTTTGCCTAGGGTAGTTCTTTAATCAGGCAATAAGGTTGCTTCGAAGAGCTCTATGAAGCTTTTAGTTTTACGAATTACGGCGTAGACCACACCTCGGGGTTTGGCGCCATGCTTATGCGAACTTTGTCGTTCCAACTTGATTGGATGATTCGCGGACAGTTCAAAGTTTTGGGGCCGGAGCTTGCCGGGGTGAAGGTGCAGAAGGCTGCACCAAAGGGCTGCGACCTTCTTGGTGTCGGGAGTGTCGGGTATACGATTTACGCTTCAGGGCTTATAGGGTCCTGATGATGCGATGATGACGATGATGTTGGTGGCATCGAGCCGGCCAAGGTAATATTCAAGCGGATTCTGCAACCCGAAGGGCTACTAGTGCGAAGAGTTCTGAAGCCTCGACAGACTGCGCAAACCCCCGAAGTTCCGTGGAGCTTTGGGACATCCATGTCGCGACAGGAAGAGTTGGCGCAGAAGTCATGGTTTCGTTCTCAGATCCTCGCGTCGGTTTTGATCTCAGCTGCACACTTTGCAGCTCAGAGGTGAGGGCTTTCAGGGGCCGAGTTGGGCTGCATGGGGTTTCAGGTGTCTGGAACTCAGTTTCGGGCTTAGCATTGCCCTGCTGGCTTTGGCTTGTGGTGTGGGTTTGGGACGAGCTTCGCCGAACTGTCATGGACCTTGTAGGGATCCCGGTGGTTCTGGTGTTGATCTGTTGATTGAGGCAACGCTTCAAGGGACGAGGGCTCCGAAACATTGATCCGCATAGGTCTGGCTCGAGAGACAGCTCTTGAAGAGAGCTGCCGTAGTGGGCCAAAGTGCTCAGAGCAGACAACATTCAGCTTTTCGTCTACGGTCCATGCTTCGTACTGCATGAGCAGGAAGCTGAATTCGAAGTAGATGGTGCTTCTGGGACCACCCCCCATTGCAAACCCCCAAACTCAGACCCTCCTGCACCATAAGGCCGGCCGAGTCGCGCTGTTTGCCACCGAAGCCTAGGCCTAATCCTTGCGCCGCGTCGAGTCTGTGCCATGTGAAGCGCTATGCCGCTATGCTCCTGTACAACAACCGGAGACTGTTGCGGCTCCTCCTGCAGCGACAGGGGAGCATTTTCTTCCGGCCTGAGACGCTGCTGGCGGGGTTGGTACTTGCCGGACTTGGTGCCGGCGTCCAGCACTCGATCGATAGTGGCTGGGAGTACGCTCCGAACATCGAACACCATTACGGCTTCCAGGCAGTGGGGGTCGGAGTTACTTTCGCCATCGTCTTCCGAACCCAACTGGCGTGGGGAAGGTTTTGGGAGGCAGTCACTCATCTCCACATGATGTACAGCAAGCGCCTTGTCTGAATGAAGCCTTCGACTGTGACTTTCACTGTGACCCGGCGCTGTGCCGGGCCCGCTGAGTTCCTCGCATGATTAAAGTGCCATGAAAGGGAAGGCGACACCGGCGACACCCCAACAGAGTTTCAAGGGCAGCGTGGGCAGTCTCTGACAAGTCCTGGCAACTCAGGTGGATGGATGCTTTCGCACAGTTTCAGGCCCGTCGCCTGACTCGGAGTGCTCTGGGTCCAGAATAGAGTCATAGAGAAGGCAAGCCAGAGCTGAAGGCTGAAGATCGCAAGAGACGGCTGCGGGGTGGAGATAGCGGAGAATCAATTTCTGAAGCCCGTAGGGTCTTTGGCCGGATGTGACCTGTCGCACGTGTGCGGTCGTTTGCTCTCGCTCTCGCTCTCGCCCTCTCTCTTTCTCTCTGTCTCTCTGTCCCTGTCCACCGTTCCGAATGCTCGTGCATGCATGTGCGAAAATCTCATGCGCACGTGTGTAGTCTTTTCAGAAGTGTCTTATTATCCCCTTAGAGCTTTTTCGGTCATCCATTGAAGGCTTTTGCGGAGATCACGGCCAAGGCGGCATTCGAGGACGTCCTGTGAGTCGCTCGTAGCGCATCCTAAAGACTTCAAAACTGTAGGATCTCTCCTCCCAGTCTGACCAATCAGCCTCAGAGCCCCGAAGATGTCGTGAGCCGAAGAGGAGGGAAATCGGGACAGAGCCGACCTGCTTTGGCAGAAGCAGCCGCTCCTGCTGCAGGGGCTCTTGGGATAGTGGAGTTGTATCCGTGACCGGATAGTTCACGGCTTATGCGATGTCAAGAAAGTTTGGACAAGAACTAGCAAGTCCCAGACAGGTTTCTGCAGCGTCTGCCTCCAAAGTGTTTGGGTTGAGGGACCTCATGTTCAATGCTGCTGCTTTGTGGCAGAACGAAGCACCATCTGCTGATCGCAGAATTTATACGCCTGCAGGTTCATAGGAGAATCAAAGCAAGCTCATATTCTCGAAGGTGGCACAAACCTCGAAGATCCGTGCGGCGTCGGATCCTTGAACCCTTGACAAAAAGTGAAAAGTAAACTCCATCAGGATGCACGTCTGCATCCAGTAGCCGCGCACGGGCCTGCAGGGATGCCATCGGCCCACCAGCAGGTGGCCGCAAAAGCTCTCTGAAAAGCCTCTCGCTGTGTTCTTGTGGGGTACGAGGAGGAACCTGCCCAAGGTCACGCCCTTGCTGCTCAGCTGTGTGCACGTCTGATGCGGGAGGGGGCAGCGGCGTCGGCACGGCCACCTGTAAAGGGGCCGTGGACGAGGTGGGCATTTGAGCCTGCGGCCATTGTGCCATGTAGAACGACGGAAAAAGCTGTCTGAGATTGCCCTGTCGAAGTCCTTGGGCAACTGTTTGTGCCGGTTCTCCTCTTTGAATAAGAAGCAAAGCGTCAGCGACATCTTGGCTGAGCTGCTCTTCTGTTCTCGGGCTCGAGCTCGCAGTTGTTGGCGGCGGCTCCCGTGTAGGGGCCGAGCCAGTCCAGCGTACTGTTGCCGTCGAGTCTCGCGAGCGCGAGCGCTCGCGTGCCCGCCTGTGTTGTGCTGGGCGAAGCTGCGGGCTATCCGTGGCGTCTTCGATGGGGTCCTCCATTTCGTCCGGCTGCTCAGCCGACGGCGCGCCGAGGCGCCGATTGAAACGGGACATGCTGAGTTACCTCCCTCAGGGCTTGAGTCAGTGAGGGCAGACTCGGCAGGCAAGGAGGTCACGGCCCTATATGAACTTGACAGCACCGAGCACTGAACAGAAAGCCCGTCCTTTCGCCAAGGCAGAAGCGGGATGTCAAAGTTGAATAAGGTCTGGGTGTACAAGATGGCCTGAGTGTAGTGATGGATGCTCTGGGTACAGCATGGTAAGGCTGCGACAACGCTCGGCAACCTACCTCGTGGCTTCGCACTATATGGTGTTCGCCAAAAGAGGGCTTGATTAGCCGCTCTCGCCGGACCTGAGGCTGGGTATCCGGCAACCCTCGCACCCCTCGCCTGACAGAGGGCTTGCACGGAGGGAAAACAAAAGCGAGGCCCGGACTTGGGACCGGGCTCGGCTCGGACCGGCTTCCCTATTGGGAGCCGCGGCATAAATGCGTCGCAGAGGCCAATGCAAGCAGCGCGCTCACAGCCATCATGAACTCTAAGTGCGCGACGCGGGCTCCCTGCGCCGGGGCCGTGGGCGAGGTCCTTTGACTCAATCCATGGCGAACAGGTCCAGTGACGACTGCACTGTGTCAGTTGCCTCGGTGGAATGTGCCTCCTGCGCGGCACCCAATGAAGGGCCGTAGGCTTCATCATGCTTTTTCTGTGCATTAGCTTCCGCAAGGGCAACCAATCTATCATACCTGTTCCGCGGCATAGGTCTGCGTCTAGGCTTGGGTTTTGGCCTAGGCTGAAGGTCCAGCTTCGCGAGCAGCAAGAGCTCCTGTGGGGTGTCCTGGGAGCAATCCATGCCACAGCACCCACCTGAAGCGTCGAGGTCTTCGCCTTGGGCGGCTCCCTCTTCGGGGCCGGCTTCGGCGCTAGGTTCCGGTCCCAGCCATTCAGACCCAGACAAACCGCTAGCAGCAGAAGACGACATGCCCTATGCATTCGGACCTGGCCCCGGCTATGTACAAGCTCTGCTCGTAGAGCCAGTCTCGAGCCGTGGTGCTTAGAGAGAGAGAGAGAGAGAGAGAGAGAGAGAGAGAGAGGGAGAGAGAGAGAGAGAGAGACCGGAAGGGGCCTCTCAGACGAACCAGTGCGCGCCTTGAGGGTAGTCCTTCGGGCCAACGGGTTGGATGTGCAGCCCTAGACCCCCTGCAAAAAAAGAGAAGGAGAAAAGGAGAGAAAAAGAGAGCGAGTCGGGCGGGCCCCTAAGCCCCGCAGAAAGAAAGACAGAAAAAAGGAGAGTGGGTGTTGCTTCAGAAAGGAGGGAGCTTTCTCTCCGAGGCTGCGAGGCTTTGCCACCGGCGCCTCTTTCAGCCGCGCCGCGTCCATGGCTGCCAACGACGCGCTCGAGAAGTTTGCAGAAGATGGCCCCTTGGGCCCTTTCTGGGAGAACTTGACATCAAGATTTGCCGGGTCTCGGTTATGAGACTCGGGCTCACAACATTCACGGGCCTTCAGCCTTGATTTGGGGGTCATGACCTCGGCAGATCAACTGTTTTTATTTCAGCCACTCATTTAGATTTCACTCTTATGGCGAAGATGGTGCTCCGATTCTCAGCAATGTGCATGGTTCAATGCTTTCGGTTGCCCAGTGTCGTTGCCACAGGTGCCAGCATTACTCACATGCTGTGGACAGTCTGGGACAAGAACGTTTGTTCCACTGTGCTTCTCCCGGCAGTGCCGGGAATCTTTCACCTGTGCCGCTGATTGGTTAGAATCTGAAAAGCTCAATGCCAAGCGCCCGAACAACAGTGGCTGTCCGGCGAAGGCTGTTTTGTTGATCTCATATCAGTACTCTTCCAGTGGCGGAGTTTTTTCATCGCTGCTTAACTGTCTGCTGCTGCTGCTGTTGCTACCACGCCACTGTCGTTGCCACCACCTGTTGTCACCCGGCAAATTGAGCCAAGCCCAGGTGCCTCCTCACTGGAAGATGCCAACAGTAGCAAACACGTCTTTGCTGCCTTCGACAGCTTGGTGGCTTTGAAGGACAAGCTGCAGCCGCTTGGCCTGTAAGGGCCGGAGAGGGGTACGCAATTGTAGAAAGTCTGACGCCTTCCGGAAGTCTGTGTGGGTTTGATTCAATTTAGACGGGGTTTCGTCAGCGGCCCTACGCCCTAGAATGCCCTAGAAAGTCTGTGTGGGTTTGATTCAATTCAGACGGGGGTTTCTTCAGCGGCCCCACGCCGTAGAATGCCCTGTGTGGGTTTGATTCAATTCAGACGGTGTTTCTTCAGCGGCCCTACGCCCTAGAATGCTCTAGAAAGTCTGTGTGGGCTTGATTCAATTTGGACGGGGTTTCTTCAGCAGCCCTACGCCCCAGATCTACGCGACCACATTAAGCACGACTGGCAAGTGTTCACGCAGCACGCAGCGAGGAATGCCTGGAGGGGCCAATGCGCATTGCAATCAGTTGGGGCCCAGGTCTGTGTGATCATAGAGCCGCAAGGTGCCTTACAGTCGAAAGATGGCTGAAGGGAGAGTTGCGAACTCGACTTGACACAGTTCTGATCCAGAATATGTCTGCACGCGCGCACGGCTGCACCGCGCACGACGAGGTGGGAATCCTTGCCTTGGGTGGCAAACGACATACATACCTCTCCCTCACAAGCCTGAAAAACGATGCGCAAACTCGTTGACATACTGGCAAGATCAAAAGCCCAATGCTAGCTGCTAACCGCTAACTCTGCTGCCCCACTTTCGGCTCCACTGCCACAGTCAACACCACTTCGGCCGCAGCCAGTACCGCCTGCGGCGACAACAACTCAAAACGATACCTCTGAAATCCATTGGCCCAGGAGTGCGTCAGATCAGCGAGAGAAGGTGGACTACGTGGCAATGCCGCTAAGCAAGATTTATGGAAGTTCACAGAGTTTCACGGCAGTGTTTTCTTCCCTCTGGTTGGGGGAAAGTCTCTCCAAAGCCGGATTTGGGAGCAAATCCTTAAGTTTTACTGGCGAGTCCTGCGAAAACGTAAGTCCAAACCCAAATCCATGAACCTTTAACTCGCAAACCAGAACCCCTGAATCCTGAATCCCTGGATCCTATACCCAGGAAGCTTTAAAGACTGAGCAGTTGGTGCTTCTATCGGCGTCGTCGTGGAGTTGCGTGGGGGGCTGTGTGCTGATGCTGCGCGGATTTACATGTTTCGTTTTATCGAATACCCTGCCTCGCGACTCGTTCAGCAATGCGGGGAGGCAGGCACGAAATCCTCAATGCTCAAAGGCTACAGCTCGAAGTCGTGAAACTCGAAACCCGCAGCCGTTTTGGCTGCCGCGTGCTGACCGCTTCTCCTCGTCAGTTTAAAGGCACTAAACCGCCTCGAGCTCACGCTGAACCTGTCCAGCGCATGTCATGAGTCCCCGAAAGAAGTGGGACTCGGTTGGCTAAGCCCAGTATAAAGACAGCTGGGTAGCACAAAAGCTGCGCTGCCCTCTCCCAGGTCGGCAGTCCGCATGGCTCGTCAGATGCTGCCCGGCGCATGGGGTAACAAGGGGGGGGGGTATCCGGGCTGAAGTCCAATCGCGTCCTTGGGAATTTCTCGCGGATGTTTTCACACCTGTCGGCATACGCCTTCAGCCATTGCCCAACCACCCTTCTTTCACCTTCCCCCCGAGCCTTAGTTTTGCCCATGCTACTTGAGTCACTTCCCTTAACAGCAAACCAGGCAAGAGCAGCTCAAGCTGCAACGGCAGACGCTGGGAATCTACCGCCGGCAGCTTGACTAGGTGTAGAACGAAGAGGGGGAGGGATCTTCGATTCATCGCTTAAAATCTCTGGCTGCAAAGACCAGGCTTTGAAAGCCAGGTGTATCGCTTAAGCTTATGAGCTTCCAGTGGGGCTTCAGAGCTTCGTGGCTTTGGGTCAAGCCTGCTCAACCACATTGCATCTATAGTTAGAGAGAAGCTGATCATGGCACAAAACGTCAGGCACCAGAGACGTAGTTGGAATAGCTTTGCGGCTCCGCAGCTTGTGCCTATCAACGTGAGAAACTGTACCAGGGCGCTTCTGCAGGTCTTACGTAGCATCCGCACTCAAGATTTCAAGATGCGTTTGAGCGATATGGCCTACGGCCTCTTGGAGCCTGGCAACTTCAACGATGCTACAGACTTGACAAAGTAAAGATAACCCGGTGCAGCAGAAGTCGCATTGGCTGGCTCCATCTTGCGGTGGAAATGGAGCCCTTGGAAAGGTTTCAGCAGAGACCTTGCAAAGTGATCGGGTGGGGTTCCCGGAACACGCGATACTGTGGCGTTAATGTGCGAAGTTTTGTGCCAGTAGCGTCCCAGCGGTTGAGATTTCGAATCACATCTCCCTGCACCTTCGTATAAAGCCTTGTCGCTGAGGAGGAGCAATGCCACGCGTGAGATGGCTCGACAGAGGCCGCTCTCCCTCCCCGGAGACACAGTAGGGCTTGATCAAGCTTAACACTGGGATTTCTGAAGGTGCTTTGTAAGGATGGGTATCGGGATCGTCTCTGGCAGCAGTGTCTTGACAATGGCCAACAGGATCAAGACTTGGTTCAGAGTAGGATGTAATGTAGTTTTCGTCAGTCCAAATCTGGGGTCGTCCGGGCAGGATCCATCAACCCCAGCGCCAAGTAGCGGCGAGCAGCTATCTTGGTGTTTCTGTGGTTGTACGGAGCCGGCAGACAGTCCGGCTGTCTCCCAGCGACCCCCCCTTTGGTGCCGAGATAGGGTGGGTTGTGAGCGAGCCAGATTCGGATCACAAAAGCCTTGTTGCTTGCTATCCGGCTCAGCAGGCTCGCCCGCTGCTTTGGGTGGTGGGTGTGAGGATGCCCCGTAAAACAGGATGAAACTTAGACTGCAGGCACATGACACATGTGTCTATCGCGCCTACCGTCTTTGATGGCAATCCCTGCTGAGGCCAATGTAGTTGGCATCCTGCGGTCGTCGTCGTTCTCGATGCATGGTCGTCGTGGTTGTCGCTGCTGGCGCGGAGGAAGGAAAGGAGGAGCAGGAGGAGCAGGAGGAGCAGGAGGAGCAGGAGGAGCAGTGGCAGTTGTGGCTGCAGCAGTTGCAGTATCAGCAGAATGGTAGTAGAAGCAGTAGTAGGATCCGAGCCGGGTTCAAGAGTCGAAATAAGTTAGTAGGGTCGTCGTGTCGCAGTAGTAGTAGTAGTAGTAGTAGCAGCAGCAGCAGCAGCAGTAGTAGTAGTAGTAGTAGGAGTAGCAGCAGCTACTGCAGCAGCAGCAGCAGTAGTAGTAGTAGCAGTAGGCGCCCCACCCCACCCCCCCCCTACCAACCACCCTTGCTACGCAGGCTCTTAAGAGCATGTCCGTTTTACTCGGTATTTACGGTACGCTCGTCGTGTCAGACCACTTCTTCTTGTCTCAAAATCCAGTCGTTGAAATTTCGAGCTTCGGATTTCGGAGCATTCGGCGTGGGTGCGCTGGGTCGGGGGGGGATGGGGTGGGAGGGGGCTAATGACGAACATGGCAGCCTTAAACAGTTGCTGCACGGGTATTGAGAAGCTTAGTAGGCTGAAGCCGCCTTTCCACGACACTTGCTCCAAACCCTCTCGAGAGCTCGTCCGTTTTACTCGGTGTTTTTACGGCACGATCGTCGTGGCATACCACTTCATTTTGCCTCAAAATCCACTCGTGGATTTTGAATGATTATGATTATGATCATGCCATGACGTTGGTTATGATGATGACGATGATGATGATGATGTCTTTCATGATGATGTTGATGAATGTGAGAATGCTGGTTATTATGATGAGGAGGATGATGATGAACATGATCGGCCAACATGATGGATTCCGCCGCAAGTGGTTGGTAGGAGGGGGGGATGGCTAGTAGTAGTAGTAGTAGTAGTAGTAGTAGTAGTAGTGGTGGTAGTAGTGGTAGTAGTGGTAGTAGTGGTAGTAGTGGTAGTAGTAGTAGTAGTAGTAGTAGTAGTAGTAGTAGCAGTAGTAGTAGCAGTAGTAGTAGCAGTAGTAGTAGCAGTAGTAGCAGCAGCAGCAGCAGCTACAGCAGCGGACCTGACTTTTTAAGACTTTCCATCTGCTAATCCGAAAGACAACGACCACGATAGCACGTGTCGATCGTTATCTTTGATGTTGTTACATTGTTGCTGGTGTCGCAACTCGCCGTGACGGTGGTGGTGGCGGTGGTGGTGAATTGGAAAAAGCGTAGCACTCATCGTGGAAGCTGGGGCAACAAAAAGCAGTAGTCTCCGCGGTGGTGTCAGTAGGATGAGTAGCCGTCATGGGTGCTCATAGTAGTTTGAACGAACAAGCAGGGGAGCTGCCGTCGCCTCAGTGGCAGCCGAGCGCCACGCAATGCTTCTGGACTTGGACCGCCAGCGGCTTACACATCTGCGTGTTATAGAGGCTGAGACTCGTTTTATGATTTATGATGCAGAAAAACTTCCGAAAATGTTGGCGAGAGCCACAAATCACGCCACCTGCGATGAAACTCCACTCGTGTCCTGATGGAGTTTAAGCATGCGGTATCAGGAAGTATGTCTCATTGAGATAGAGGGTGAGCGTGACCAATCTGTCACACTAGTCGCTGAGTAGCAAACAGCTAAATAGCACCCATAGGCATTAGTGTGGCTGTGTCCTATTCCCCAGCCTCCATGAACCCTCGAGCCTTGGCTTGACACATCCCAAACTGTTTAGACTTCACGTGCTACATAACTACACCTGAGACATACAGGCTCCAAGCCTTGCACCCCCAACCCAAGTTCTACGCCCTCAGTTTGGCTCTAGACCCTAGACCCTCCAAGTTGCATCAGGTGTTTGGTGGAAGATTCGCAATGTTCTGGACGACTACATGGAAGACGCAGGGGTCGAGATCGACAGCAGCTTAACAGCATCCAGGAAATACGACGGTATAAAGCCAGTTTTAGACCTGCAAGCAAGGGAACAGAAGCCTAGCTGCAGGCGTTCTCTTGATTGCTTGTACATGGGAAAAAGAACTGCAGTCAGAAGCAGAAGTGTTTCATGGTGTTGATACCTTTCCATGCACGATCATGACAAGATGCTATGCTGATGGTGCTCAATGTGTTGCTGGTCGCACTATCGTAGTAACATACTGGCGATGAGTGCGAAGTACTTGCATCGTCAAGACCGCGATGCGAGTTGACAAAGAGTCATGAGATTGTCGCGCTATCTCTCCCATGGCCATTGCTTTCCGCGTCCAAACCATCGGCTCGTTGGCCACACACTTGAGAATGAAGAGCCCCGCATGACTACATGACGCAAGAAACATGGTGCAAGGCTACGAGGCCGGGTCACACGCGCTGTCGCAGTACGAGCAGTGCGGCTTGGCCTCATGTTATGGGGGGATGATGCCTGGGGGTGGCTGGAAACTGCAGGCCAAGGCCATTGCCCTGCCTCTGCTACTCAGAACACTTTTGCTGCCGTTGCTGCCCTGGCACTCCGGCCTTCTGCGATCATGCAAGCCAAGCCAAGCCACCATAGTAAGATTCTGTTTCGCCTCGTTAGGATTTCACACCGTTGGTTCTCTTTCCAGACATTTGGAGCTCAGCCTTTGCTGGGAAGAAGAGGAGCAGCAACACGTCCAGAGCGGCCTCGAATCCGGGCAGCATGTCGCAGGCGCCATGGACTTCACCAGCCTGCTGTCCATCTACAAGCAGACCATGGCGACGACGGATCGGGCTCACAGGTGGGGTGTTTCATAATCAGGATCGATGCAAATCTGCAAGGATTGCGCCGTGAGAGAATCTGCAGTAGGATTCTTTGGGATAGCGTGAAAACAGAACCAATGACGTTTACAGCACACTCTGCAGAGATCGGCAGAAGGGGTAAGACCGAAAGGGTTCCGCCAGTTCTGTCACGTTACCTGAGTATCAGAACTGGGCCACTCACCCTTAAGGTTGAAGATAGTAGCAGGGCAGCGAAATTACGTCGGAACGCTTTGTTTCATGAGACTCACGCATCTCCTGCATGATAGGCTAGACAAGCTTGACATGCAGGGCAACCGACGGTCAGAGCGCATAGTTGTAGATGCATGACCTGGATACACGGAACGGCACTTTGCTAAGAAGCAGCCCGGGCGAACCCAACAAAGACATCATGTCGACAGACGGATCCACGAGGCGGACTTACGCAGGAAAATGGGTGCAGTAGTAGCAGCAGGAGTCGCTCCTCTGAAAATCTAAGTCCATTGTTGAAGCCCCCAAAAACTCAGAAACTGGAACAATATCTTTTGACTCTAATTTGACGTCTTTGAGGTCCTTGAAGAAGGCTTGGCGACACGTCTCCAACCTGCTCGGCCACTCGACAGCAAGCAAGGGATCTACATCACTAGGGATGAGGTTTCACGACGTTCTAGCGTTTATGATGCAGCAAAGTACAACACACTATAGCATATTCTAGTATGTCATAGTCACGGAAGGTTGGTGGAAAGGACGTTGCGTAAGGAGTGCTGGTGGATATGTTTGCGCCGCTCTTCAAGGTTGTGAAGACAAGAGGTGCAAATGTCGGATGTAGGGAGTTGGGCTGTAGACACCCTAAACACTACAGCCTCACTGATGCTCGGATCCTGTCTCGGCCAGCCCTAAACCCTAAACCCCTTTAAATTTGATTCCTTGTGGCGAACAGGTTTCAGGTCTGGGCATGCGCGGCATGGATAACTTTAAATGGCATCTAGCATCTAGACCACAGGCATTCATCACGTGATGTGTAGATGCTCGGGACCTCAACTCTTCAAGTAGAGTTGAAGAGATAACATAAGGTATTCTAGGTATCCTTCCGCCATTGTGCAGCACTTTGGCACGGCAAAAGGCATCGCCCCAAAAAGCCGAAACGTTGGAAGCAGACGCGCCCGTCTCCAAGCCCTAGCTCTGCCGAGGTGAGCTTGCTTCCCACCTGGAGGATGGCGAGGCTTTCGTGACCTTCCTGCAGCAAGAAGGCCGCCGGCAGGGCCTCCAGCAAAAAGGAACTTGCTGGAACAGGACTGAAGGCATGATGCACACCGGGATCTTCAACCATAGTAGCAGTAGCAGAAGTAGCAGCAGCAGTAGCAGCAATAGGAAGAAGCATTGCTGTCGTAGCGGTAGCTGTAGTAGCAGTTCCAACAATCATGCAAATGATCGCCGGCAGCACAGCCTTCCTTCACGTTTGACAGCCCTTGTCTCGTGGGCAGGCTGCCAGTCTCCATTAGCCTTCCAGACGCTCGAGCAAGCTCGCGACGCCACAAGTGGTATGAGGACCACAGGTTTTAATTTGATCAACATTCCCGGACATGCTGGGACCCGTTGATGCTTCAACATGTTGCGGACTCAATTAGGCTCGTGGCTTTTGGGCTTGTGAGTTACAAGGCCTTTGGAGCTCCTGTTGCTGCTTTGGCGGTTTGGAGTCTCACGGGTGAGGACTTTCAGGTTTACTGCCAGAGATGCTAGGGTATCCTTGGGATTGCAGGCATCGCCTTCAGAACGGTAGCAATGAGGAACCTGTTCACGTGAGCCCTGTCCGGGGCCTGAAAAGCCACACCAACAAAGCTCGCGGTTGTGCAAGGATGCTGTACCACCGGTTTGCAGTATCCGGACTACCCACTCCAAGTGTCGAGCTCATGGGGAGCACGGCTCCTTTTATGCACCAAATTGTGTTTGGGCAATCCGGGTTTATGATTGTGATTGCTGCAGCAATTACTCATCCTAGCAATGCTGCTTGTGTAAGTTGAAGTGTGTAAGTGTAGGCGTATCAGTTCCTCTTCCTGTGCTACTCCACCGACATAACATGCGGGTGGCAAGTGCGTTGAGCTGGACGACCCTTGTGGAAGTGGGGAGTGGTTCAAAGCCACCTCGGGTAGGCCGCAGATCGTAGCCTCTCTGACGGCAGCCTGTCTTTGCCGCCGTTATGGCAATTGCAGCAAAGCATTGCAGGCAACCCGCTGTATGATCACACCAACTTTGTGTGTGCAGTGCGATTCAGCATCGCATCCTCGAACCGGCAACTGGAGTCATCAGAGAGATCACCAGAGGTGCGATAGTCTGGGTTTCTGCTACCAGGGTGGCTGAAGAATCTGCATTGTCAATATGGTAAACTAAACGCGTATGCTTGTGTGTATGTGCGAAGCATGGCGAAGCACGAAGCCCTCCCCAAGAAAGGAACGAGCCTTATCGCGCTTGTCGCTGTCAGGTCAGCCGAATCAAGGGCAGCTGGGCCTCTGCGCAGCAGGCCATCTGCAACAACAAAGGCATGGGACCCAGCATCGAGTGGCGGCTGAGGGTTGAAACCGAGAATGAGGGTCCGGAGGGTTTTGACAAGGTCACACTTGTGGCAGGACACTTGCTTGTGCAACCTATTGTCATGACTTAAAACATGTTGTGAACCCACCACTTGCCGATGTGCCTGTGTGCCCTGGGAGCACCAGTCAGGTTGTCCGTTAAAGACATCCTTCGGTGTCATTGCACCAGCCCCCCACACTGCCACCGTGCTTTGTTGTTCCAACTTGATGGAGCTACTAAGCCACTAAGCAGCGCAATGACGAAGTTCATTTTCGTTGCTGTTCTCGCAAGGTCAGCTGCCTGACTGGTACATGCCGTTGGAATAGAGCGCAAGTGATGGAGGGCAGCGTGGAGATGACGCAAAAGATGCGCGCATGGGCCATGAGCGACCTTGGGAGTTGCAACGCACCGATCTCCAGGATCCTAAAATACAGTGCACCGATGGTCAAGTGCTCTGAAGCACAGTTTGGTTTCCTGGTAAGAATCTATTCCGTTTATGCATACTCTACCGAGCCCTAAAGCCTTCCTTATGCACGAGACTACAGCGAACATCTTGCAAGTCGCCGTGGACAAAGTTGTCTGAATAATTTGGGCAAGCTGCCGATCAAGCTTGCATCCAGAATGGAAGAGAACCAGAAGGTCATTGAGGAATCCTCGGTCCTAGCGAGCAAAAGGACAAGTTAGGTGACGAAGAATCAGGAAGTGAGGGGTTCGTGTTTCTTCCTGATGACCCTCCACAACTCTCAGAGGAAGAGCTTCGCAACATCCGCGCGCTGGATCTATGTTTCTTCCGGGTATGAGGTTATGCGGTGATCACAACCTCAGTGGTGGTACTGAGGTTTCAGGGTTCTTGACCCGAGTGATTCGAGTGGGACTCGCACTTTTTGAGCACTCACCGAACACTGAGCGTTTAAGTTTTATTTGTCTGCCGCAGCACCAAGAACGATGTAAGTGCCAAAATCTTAACAAACCCGTCGTTTCCCAAGCACCAACATGTCTGCTTCCAACTGCAACAGTCGCGCCACACCTCTGCAGACCTAGGATTGTGAGCCAGCCAGTCGTTCATTTTAAGCCAGCAAGGGAGATTTGGGCTGCTGAAAAGCGCCATGGACTGCAAGGAGCACAGGTAAAACCTTGCACCGCACATGGATTTCCCCGTCGCTTCGCAGAAGCGCGCCGGCGATGAGCCGCAGAGTCAGGATACCAGGCCGTGGAAGCGCCGGAATCCAATGAACTTGGCAATGTATCCTTTCAGAATTTGGCCCGGTGAGGCTGTCGCGCAAGCTTCGCCAGCTTCTTGCGCAGTGCCTGAGTCATCTCCGAGTCTTTCAGGGCACGCTCTGCCGCAGGCGCCAGCACCATCGCAGCCATCACAGCCGAGTTTGTCCTCAGCTTGCCACTCGGGCATGACCTGGGGACCGCCCACGTCAACAGATTTCAGTGTGATCAGACCCGCCAGCTCTTGGTCAGGACAGCTGTTGCAGCGCGTGGCTGGCCCTGTGCCTGTTGACGGGCACACGGCCACAATGCCAAGGCTCGGAACAAGCAGAACAGGATCGCCTCTCTTCACACCGCCGAGACCTGGGACCAGACAGCCACTGGAGAAAACACCCAGCCCTGTTTCCAGGACACCAAGATCGCCCGCATCAACGGCTTCGACCATGACGCCATGTCCTGGATCAACCACGCGGTTGGCAGACACGCCCAGCCCGGGTACCAGAGCACCAGCACCGTTTGCACCAAGAGCTTCCAATGTGGTCATACCACCAAGACCTGGGTCAGAACGGCTGAGTGGGAGCGCACTCAGCTCTGCACCCAAGCCACCCAAAATTGCTCCCAAGAGGAAGCTGGGGTTCAAATTCGCTTCGGTTCAGAACATACCTACGAGCGCTGGCATCGACTACAAAACCGAGTTGAATCGCTTTTTGATGCGGAGGCCTTAGCTACCAACGGTCGCGCAGCAAGTGTTGGAGAGCAATGTAAAGTGGGTAGTGTCTAATCTCTAATCTCACAGTGAGATTGCGAGTCGAAACGCAGATGATAGTAATGAGACTGTGGCAGGAAGTGGAGCCGCGCATGGCAATACATAACTGTGTGTATGCTGTCTGCCACTGTATGCATCCTGTTGAAAGATATTCTGTGTCAGGGACCATCTGTAGTGACAGATGAAATCAGATGAAGACACCTGTGTAGGTTTTTGGTTCCGGTTCCACAGATGTGGTCCGATTTGGTCATTATGGGTAGCATGGTTTGCAACCCAAGGGACTGCTGCTGTGGTTTGAATCTCCCTGCCCCTTGTGATGGACTGATGTGCCTTGCATTGATGTGCCTTTCACATGATGGATGTATTCTATCGGTTCGGTCGATGCCAACTTGTTACCATTTGTTTCTCGCTGAAGTATCGGTAGTATTGAACAGCACGCGTGGCTGCCGTTTGAGCATGTCATACGTTTCCGTCAGGAATTCGACCGTTCGGTGGTTGCCGTAAATTCATTGCAGTCCTGGAGACAGAGTTTTCAGGTCCTCCAAAGGCCTGCAGAGGTCTTAGGGCTTCCGGGGCCTCCTAGCGGCTTCTAGTCCAGAAGCCTCTCCCAGGACCTTCAGGCTCAGCTGATGGCAAGGCTAGGATCAGCTTGGTTCCATCAGCGTTTTTGAGGCGTCCAAAATGTTGCGCGCGACGGAGGCAGAGTGCCGGACTGCGGGACACTGCAGGCGACAGACCATTCAAACAACTAGAACACTTCATGTGAGGAACAGCAACAGCAACAAGCACAAGCACAGCCACAAGCACAACCACAAGCAACAACAACTAACAACTAACAAGAACAAGAACAACAACAAGAACAACAACAACAACCACAACAACAGCCACAACCACAACCACAACAACAACGCCAACAACAACAACAACAACAACAACAACAACAACAACAACAACAACACCAACAAACAAACAAACAAACAAACAAACAAACCAACAAACAAACAAACACACAAACAAACAAACAAAAAACAAACAAACGAGCAAACAAACAAGCAACAACAACGCCAACAACAACAAACAACAACAACAACAACAACAACAACAACAACAACAACCAACAACAACAACAAGGAAGCACGTGCGTCTGCCGCCGCGCGGGGTGTGTCAATTATTTTTGGGAGGTTTTTTGCTCCAAGTTCAGGAAACCCTGTAATTTGCGAGGTATTCGTCAACAACAGGAAATTTGGGTGTTTTGGAAAACCCATGTTTTTGGGTCTGTTTTTTTGGCAGCATTTTTGCGAAAGTGTCGCAAATACCATGCTTTTGTTGGTTTTTTAAAGTGGAAATTTCCGTTCGATTTTCAAGTTGTTGTCTTGAAAGCTGCAAAACCTCGAGGTTTTTGCATGGTCGATTTGTGCAAAGTGAAGCAACAAGCATCCGGAAATGACCACCCAAACGATTGCGACAGCAGCAACATATGACACCGTCCCTCCCCACCCAAACCCCCACTCACCACTGCACCGCTTCACCGAAGTTTTTGCATGTTTCATTTTCGCCAAGTCAAGCAACCAGTATACTCAAATGACCACCACAGCATGTGCGACAGCAGCAACATCAGACTCAGCTTCAGCTGTACATGATACCAGATGAAGAAAAGAAAAAGAAAAACAAGGCGCATTCGCATGGACGTCATCATCCCCCCCCCCACCCCCCCCACGACCGCACCGCACCACCAAACAGCACAAGAAGATGAAGAAAAGAAAAAGAAGATGAAGAAAAAAGAAACAACAAGTCGCATTCGCATGGACGTCATCATCCCCCCCCACCCCCCCCCCCCCCCCACGACCGCACCGCACCACCAAACAGCACAAGAAGATGAAGAAAGAAAAATAAGAAAAAAAAAAAAAAAAACAAGGCGCATTCGCATGGACGTCATCATCCCCCCCCCACCCCCCCCACGACCGCACCGCACCACCAAACAGCACAAGAAGATGAAGAAAAGAAACATAAGATGAAGAAAAAAGAAAAAACAAGGCGCATTCGCATGGACGTCATCATCACCCCCCACCCCCCCCACGACCGCACCGCACCACCAAACAGCACAAGAAGATGAAGAAAAGAAAAAGAAGATGAAGAAAAGACAAATTCAAAATGCAAGTCGAAGCCGGCATGTGCAGAAAGTCGAGAGATGGCCCAAACACTGCAAAAAGCGATGGAAATGCGACAGACACAGAAAACACCGAAAAACACGATGCGAAAGAAGGACGCGAGCATGTTGGTGGACAGTGCAGTGTGCGAAATCAGGGCTTTTTTTGTAGAAAATACCGCAAATACCGATGCGAAAACAAAAACCCAAATTTTTTGTCCAAGGGCCAAAGTGCCAAAACTCGAGTTTCAGCACATGCCAGCCCAAAAATCGCACCACCCCACGCGGCGGCAGACGCACCTGCTGCCAACAACAACAACAACAACAACAACAACAACCAACCAACAACCAACAACCAACAACCAACCACCAACTACCAACAACCAACAACCAACAACAACAACAACAACAACCAACAACAACAACAACCAACAACAACAACAACAACATTTCATTCACACGCAGCGGGAGGATACTGTCTGAGGTGAAACTTGACGTCCACGCTTTGCGAGGGATCGACCTACTGCTCTGCTTGCTACTTGCGCGGTCACTTCATGACGAGCCGTGCCTTAACACAGCACTCGCACACGCTCCGCCCCTCAAGGCTGCAAGCAATGAAGTCGGAATCGGACGTGTCGTCAGTGACTCGAGCTGCAGACTCTGGCACTAATGAGGGAGTTAACTGGCTGATTTGCAATGTATCGCTGACTGATTGGCGACGTCCATTTTGCACACTGCTGTCTCGCGAGAATGTCTAGCCTCGCTGTGAAGGCTCGGTACGAACCACTAGCTCTATGTTATAGTAGAGGCGGTGAGGCAATGAAACACTCAGTAAAGGCAGGCCAGGCGCCATTTCCAGCCCGTTGTTGCTATTTGTAGATGGCGGAGCAACTCCTGCCGGACTTGTGCTGGTGACATGAAGCTCTCCTGTCCCTGGATGGGAGATCGTTGAGGTCACAGCCTTTGGCGGTGGTCCCAGGGGAGAAACTCCTCCCGGGACTCCACCTTTCGCTGGCACTCCTGGTGCCTTACCTGGTCCCGGTGTCCGATCTGTGCTAGATCCACTTCCTGACAGGTTAACAGGCATCGGAGGCGGCGGGCCCTTAGGCCCAGCTGCTTTGGGGGCTGCTTTAGGGGCTGCTGTGTCTTCGGAGTCGGACTCCCGAATGGAGTCACTGGCTGGCGGCGACCTGGAT